GGTGAACTTCTAATCTTCGAGGAAGCAAGCTGCTCACTTGGAGCAATCTGTGGTTCTGCACCTTCAGACCTGCCTTTCCCTGTGTGCATCAGCACCAGACCGGGATCATTGTTTTCACACATACACACATGTTAACACACACACACACACATATATAATAAAAGAGAAGTATACCAATATAACATAATGTTAATTTTGTATTACAATGTGATACTACAACACTAGTTATTAAAAAAATGTTATTGGGCTTCCAGTTACACTGTGAAGTCTTGTGCAGAGGGCTTTTCAAAACTTAAAATGAACATATGGATGTCAGATGTGCACAGTCCCACCTTGAAGCTGCCAACCAGCAGTTAGCACCTTGACAGCAGACTGAGCTAGCACCTGATCACATTCCCCCCCCCCCACTATGGTGAGATGTATTTCTATTTAAATTATACTAATTTCTAAATTTACACCTGGGTACATTTTATGGAACTCTGTGTCCTCTTTTTCTGATGGTGCATTTTCTCAGTTGGGGAAGTGAATAAGTTGGCGACCCTACAAGTCACTTTCCCCCGTTTTAGCTTTCTGCAGAGGCAATCCATTCATGTCCCATCTTTCTAATGCCAAACTCTTAGAGGCAAGATGCATCAGAATTTTGCAGCGCTTGTGCATGATTGGACTCCATTTATCCCTCTGTTACATGCAGGATGGTTGCAATCCTGCTCTAGCAGCCTGCCCTGGACTTTCTGAGCAGCCATTTGCTACCTTGTGCAAGCATGCATTCATATCATTATGAGACAAACAGCTGAAAATAGATGGCCCTTCCTCCTAAAACAACAACTACATTAAGCACTTTCAGATTAGAAACAATAAATATTGATTTGATATTCATATGCCCCCCTGGGAAATGGATACAGCAAAAGTCTACACTCCCTTTTCCCCCACACCAACATACACTCTGGACATGAAATACCTCTATGTTGCTTGCTGCAGCAATCAAGCTCTCATGCTTCAAACACCTTCCATACTCAGCTCTGCCTACAAGAGATAAAGGTAAAATATTACCTTTTGAATAGGAAGGTCCTTCTGCAAGCACGGCAGTCTGTGATTGATCCTACAGGCAAGGACAAGAGCATATATTATGGGTACTGAAAATGCAGTGGTGTTTAAATTGTTTAAGCATTGCATACAGCAGTTGTAATAAAAAGGCAATGCAGGTGTGGGGCACATTGTTTTCGGTGATTTAAAATGTATTCAATTGGAAATGGATGCTATAATCATGGTTATGGTCTGGAAAACTTCAGCACAGCTGCTATTCGGAAGAAATACACTAAAGAGCAAACAAAACTAAATACACTAAAAAATAGTTCTCATGTTTGCCATGTCACAGAAACGCATATTGCCAGGCATGGAAATCTGAATCTTGGTGGCTCATAATGCTGGCCATGGTTGGGGCAGTAATGCTTCTGTATACCAGTTGCTGGAAACCTGGGTTTCCCACAAACATCTATGTGACCAATGTGAGAACAAGGTGTTGGACTAGATGGTCCACTGGCCTGATCCAGCAGGCTCTTTGTATGATCTTCTGAAGTGTCCAGAAAATTCTTCTCCGGCTGAGATTTAAAACTGAGCTGGAGAAATCAAGTCTTTCGTCCCACCCACTTTCCTTCTGCATTCATTGCCACTCCAGCAGTGTGGTGGGATGGAGATCCTTTCCTCACCCACAGCCTGCAAGGTGTCTGGCACACTGCTGCAGTTGAAAGCCAGATATCAGAAGCCCTGAACCATCTAGTTTCCCAGCACTGCTGCGCAACTTCTCCACCCTGCCATGGCTGACATTAAAGCAGCAAAGCAAATAAGGAGGTGGATGGGAGTGAGAGTTTGGAGGAAGGGGAGAGGGCAGGCAGATAGGTGGGGGAGGGGGAGGAGGTTACTGAAGGATCAGACCCTGTTGTACTCCTAGGGACCTTTGGGGTGGAACAGGACGTAGAATTGGCATAAACCAAGCTATTTTCAGTGTTTTGGTTTTAGAACACACCAAGCTGTTTTCTGAGTTTGTGGGGAAATAGTTTTCAGAGCTTGACCAGAGCAGTTCACTGCTTCACTAATATTTTTGAAGAGTTCCAAACATGCAGGAATTACTTGACAAGTTAATGACTCTTCCAGATATTAATTTTCTGCATATCTGTAGATGTATATATCACCTTCAGATGTTACAGATTTATTTATATAATTCCAGGAAACCATAGACTTACATACAAACACTGCCTTATAAATGTAGCTGCGCAGTTTAGTCGGCATGCTTTGTGATTATGGCTGTCTATACATAATATCTAGGTAGTTTCGTGAAAAAGCTTGAGCCATGTTGAGGAGATACATGCTTTTGTGTTACTGCCTTGGCAGAAGTCTCACACTGTTCCATTGTTTTTGTTTACCCCAACAAACTTTATCAAGTTATCTGTTTGTGAATGAGTGTGTGGATACAAGATTTGCTCCCTCCACCCCTGTTTGCACTGCATTCAACTTCAGAAAATAGAATAGTGAGTGAATGCAGATACTATTTCCAGGACCGCAAAAGGACAAAAGTTGAATGAAAGATTACCAAGGATATTAGTGTGAACCTAGGATGGATCTAGACACGAAGAAGCGTTTCAGTTAAATGCGTTGCAAACTTTGTATGAGAAATTAGGTTTGCAAAAACAGAACTCCACAGCACAATCTGGTGTCACAGTGTTAGAATGCAAAAACAACACACATAAAGTGCATTTTCTTTGCCAATGTAGCTGAGTCTATAGCAATTCCAAAAGCAGGAAACACATGCATATGAGAAAAGCAAAAAGAGTAGCGTACCAAGACTGAGGACAAGAGTGAAGTGCAATGCTATAAGAATTCTGGCATGGATGTGACCTAAAAACTTTCCAAAGAAAGCATGTGTGTGTGTGATCATCATCATCATATAGCAGTAAGCATTCTCCAAAGGCCCTTCTGTAGGCTCCTCTGGCAAATGAGATACAGTAGGTGGCCCCTGCGGTGAGCCTTTTCAATGGTGGCACTTCTACTGTGGAATATCCTCACTAAAGAGGGCACTTACTTTGTAGTTTATTTATTGCTCTGTGAATGTCATTTTATTTCCCCAGGATTTTCAGTTTTAAAAATACGTATTAGTGCTGTTTAGACATTTATCGGTACTGTCTGTTTTATTCTCGTGTTTTAACTACTTCAATATGGTGTATTTGTATATTTCATGGGTTTTGTTTTCATTTTTTTAATTTTACACAGTCCAGAGTGTATTGTTAATGAGTGAAATAAAAAATGTAGTGAATAAATAAATAGAAGAATGTGATCTTAAAAGAACAAAAAAAAAATGGATACTACTGTATGTCAGCATTACTGTTTCTCTGCCATTGGATAAACTGCTTAGCGGGGTCAAAAAATAAAAGGGTGCATTACTCATGTTTCCTTATAGCCATATCCAGTCTTTCTATCCCAGATGTTGGTGTGCTTGATATGGCTAGCAACAAAACAAAGGCACTCTGCACATGCTCAAAGTCATTATCATTCCTTTCTCCAGGACTGCAAACAAATTCTACAGCTGAGCTCTAAAGAAGGATTACTGCCCATCCAAGCAACGGAATATGATTTCCTAAAAATCATAATAGGGACAAGCTTGTTCTGCCTATAAAAGTGAAGAACACCAGTGTTTTCCATGTGGTTAGAGCTCCCCCTAGTATTCTGATTATGTTTAAAAGAGTTTTTCCCTGATTTGATGCTGTTATTAGACACCAACAACCTTTGTTTTCCCCCCAAACAAAAATAATGAAATAGTAACATAGTAAAATAAATATCAAAATAGAGCCTTTCTAAACATTCATTAAGGTTTTTTTTTCAGATAGTCACCAACACTCAGTCATTACAACTTTCAATCACTAATGTTTGCATTTTGCAAAGAAATTTTTCTGAAATAATGTTCTGTTGTTTTTATCTAGTATTTTTCAGAAAAAGCACATTTGAAATTGTAACACATACTACGTGTTGTCCTACTAATTGAAGTGGTCTAAAAATGTTCTCTTCCATGTAAAAAAAGAAGCGAACAAGTTTACAAAATGTCAACCTAATTAAGAAACCACTTAAGTAAGAGACTCCAGTTGGACTGGAGTCAAAACATATTTTGTGAAAGTATATTACTGAAATCAATAAGCTAAGTGTGAAATAGCATAATAGTTTTATAGTCGAATAAGTTATGTTTTGTAAAGTCTCCTTACACACAGTCAGATATACTCACATCCCATTTATAATTTGGATGAGGATATGTGGTTTCAATGTATAAATAAGCAGTGTGGTGCAGCAGATAAAGTGATGGATTTGGTACCAGGGAGACTTGGGTTCAAAGACTCTAGCAATTGAGTGGCTTGGGGCTAATTTTCAGCCAAATCTACCTGACCAGGTTGTTGAGATGAGCTTCATGAGCTGCTGTGAAGGCCAGAATCATTTTGGCAAGCTGCCTGAAGGAACCTGGGAGAGAGGCACAGAGATGTATGGGAATCCTGTGTTGGCCTGCTCTGAAAGACTGGCTCCTCCTGAGATGCAAATGCTGTGAAGTGTCTCCCCATTGAAATCTTCTAGTGTAAATATGTGTAGATAAATCTCATTTCAAAGACACTGCTGCACCTCATTTTTCCCAAAGGAACACAGACTCTGGTTGAGTGCCAAGACTCCTTGGACTCACTTGCACCGCTTGGCAGAGATTAGGGTGGCCAGTAAGATTACGTTTGTAAAGTTTCAAGAAAGTCTAACTCCTGTGCTCCTATGACTTGTCAGTATTATCAGTAGGGATAATGTGTCTGGAGGAATCAGTGGATTACCAAAGAGGCAGAGTAGGCACTGGCCTACGGGGCCCACATATTTTAGGGGGCCTGCAGGGCAAGACAGCCAGATTTGCAGTAACATTGGTAAGGAGCTGCTGCTCTTCTACACACCATAACTTGAATAGACTGAGCAAAATAAAAATAATAGTCCTTCCAGTAGCACCTTAGAGACCAACTAAGTTTGTTATTGGTATGAGCTTTTGTGTGCATGCAATACTTATTCGGATAAGTGTGTATCTGAAGAAGTGTGCATGCACACGAAAGCTCATACCAATAACAAACTTACTTGGTCTTTAAGGTGCTACTGGAAGGTTTTTGGGGGTTTTTGTTTCGACTACAGCAGACCAACACGGCTACCTACCTGTAACTTGAATAGACTGAGCTTTGTAACTATGTTATAAGACGTGTAACATTAAGAACCTGAGCTTGCTTTTTCCTCTTCCCTCCCATTCCTTTTTCTTGTGCCGTATCTTTTTTAGACTGTGAGCATCTTACACTGATTTTTGTAAGCCACTCTGATGTTAAATACACATAAAATGTAATACTTGTATGCATCGAGGTTAAAGCTTATGTAAAGCTTTGCATTTGCAAAGCAGAGATGTTTACATTAAGCCAGAGGTTTCACTCTGGGTGAAAGTAGAAAGCTGGTGTTTTTCCATTTCAGAGGGTTAAGCTACCTGATGATGACTCATTGGTGGAAATTGCAGATCTCTCACAGGAGGGAAACTTAAGAAGTCAGTGACAGCTACCAGTAGCAGCAGTCAAAGCTAATCTCCGTAATGAACAAGCTTAGGATCTCTGTGACCAGAAAGGAAAATTTACTGAACTGCATAAAGGACTGAATGGCGTTGCCTACTACTTGAAAGCAATGCTACTTTGTTTCTGTATAATGTTTATGTTCTGTATAATGTTTAATTTTTTTGTAACTAGTATTTAAGACTGTATTGTGGTAAAGCTTTGAAATTTACTACGTATTAGGGTGGAAAGCTCATTTATTTCTACACAACGTCCAGATAACTCAAGGCCTGCCTCTCCATATATGAACTGACCCAGATCTTGCTGTCATCAAACGAGGCCCTTCTTCAAGTGCCCTCTGCAGGAGAGGTCTGGCAGGTGGCAACACAAGAATGAGCCTTTTCTGCAGTGGCTCCCCATTTGTGGAATGCTCTTCCCAGGAAAGGTTCACCTGGCACCTTCACTATACATCTTTAGGCGCAAGGTGAAAACGTTCCTCATCAGCCAGGCCTTGGGCTGACTAACATCCAATATATTTTAAATGTGTTTGTGGGAGGGCGAGAGGGTACAGGGATACCTACCAACTCTAAAATCCCACGAATCTAGGAAATAATTGCCATTGAATTCAGCGGGCTGTACCTTGCGGGTAAATATAATAGCACTGCTCTGCATAATGACAATTTTATAGTACTTCAGGAGCATAGCTGTCGACCTTCCCTTTTTTGCGGGAAATCACCTTATTCCAGCGCTGCTTCCCGCTGCTATCCCGGATTGTTAGATATCCCGTAGACTGTCCCCTGGACAGGTAAGGCTGCTGATCCCTTATTTTCAAATCTGAAAGTTGACAGCTATGTTCGGGAGTGGCGATAGCGGAGTTTCAGAGGGTGAAAAAACAGTCATCATGACAACCCGATGAATTAAACAAGCCCGTAGGTTACAAATGACGCAGAACTAGAACTGTCACTCTTTTAGCAAGCACGCATCACTTTCCCGCTTAAAGAGCCCACTCTATATAGCACACCCGCCAAGAAAAGCCGAGAGCGCCTTTTAACAACAACTTCGGATCATTCCATTTCCCGTCCCATTTCACGGCGCAAGGAAAGCGCCACCCACCGCCCGGCTGCGCATGCCTTCACGCGAACTTCCCCGGTCCACGCCTCTTACCTGCGTCAGTCTGGAACGTTCGCGAGCGGCCGGGCGGAGGCAGGCCGCGCGGCGTCCGCCGTCGCCCGGGCAACGGCGGACGTCACCGGGTTCCCGGCCTCTGCATTGGCTGGGAGGGTTCGAGCTCGCCGGAGAAAGGCGGAAGCGGAAGCCGCACGTGGAGCCGGCGACGGAGCTTGTCGCAGTTTCTGGAAACTTCTGCCCATTGTCACATTTCAGCCTCCTCGCCGGAGGCAGAGATTTTCGCGCGCAGGCAGGAAGGCAGGCAGGGCGCGGCTTTGGCTGCGGCGGCGGCGGCTGGGCGAGGGTTGCACCTGCAGCGGGGGAGAGCCGAGCGGCGAGGCGGCGGGCGGATCCACACCTTCCCCAGCAGCGTCCGGCGCCGGGAGCCCCGCCATGGCCGTGGTGGGCTTTGACTTGGGCTCGCAGAGCTGCTACGTGGCGGTGGCCAGAGCCGGGGGTATAGAGACCGTGGCCAACGAGTTCAGTGACCGGTGCACCCCGTGAGTAACGGATCCGGAGGGTGGGGTGGGGGTGTCAGAGGCAGGCAAGCAGGCGAGATCTCCCTGCCAAAGGGTCCGGGGCAGAAAGAGGGTCGCCCTCCCTGCCGTGAAGGGAGAGAAGATTGCGGGCTTTGCAAATGCAGGCGTGCGATGCACCTGTGTCAAACTGAAGGCGACAATGCCTGCATCTGATGGAAGTGATCCTCTGCATCTTTGCTCTCACGCAACCCCCGTTGAGTGTATATAGGGCTTACTCGGGAGTAGGCTTGGTGGTTCCCCACGCACGATGAAGGCAGACATCCGCTGGCCTTTTTTTTTTTTCCCATCCCCAATTCTAACCACGGAGACATCAGTGGCATTTACTTGCAAGTAAGCACGTTTCCTTGTAACTGAGTCCCGTTGAGTTTAGCGGTGGTTGCTCTCAAGTAACTGTGCCCAGGGCTGCAGCTCTTTTTTAGAAGCGGATCCAGCTGTGTTGAATTAAATGGGGGGGAGGGCTAGGAGTGATATTTAATTCTTTCCAAGATATGTGAGCTGCCCAGAACGTGACAAACGGTTCTTATTTCACACGTGTGTATATATATCCCACTCGGAAAGCTCAGTTTTGTTGCATTCCTCTCACACTTGCCGCTTCCGACATCTCATGCATGGAAATTTAAGAGTGCATCATAGAAGCAAATGAACTCTCACGCTTCCCATAGCCTGTGGTGGGCGTGTATATAGATAGGGAGAAGATGTTGAGTATTGCCTTTTTCTTGGATTCTTGATTGAAGAGGGAGGGGCAGAGATGATGCTGCAGTGCCTCTTCACAATCTGTGTCCCCTTCACTCCCTATCCCCAAGCAGTTTCCACCTACTTAGTGCTTAGGCGCTAAGGAAGTGGGAGAGGGAGAGGGATGATGCAGTTGGAAAGAAGAGCTTGCTGGATCCTGTGCAGCTATGGGGAGATGGACTAATACTCAGTAAGCTTAGACCAGGATCTAGAAGCTTCTGGAGTTTTCTCTCCTCCGGATAGAGACAGAGGATGCAAGCAAGTGAATAAACTGTATTTTCTGCCTATCTCAGTAGGGTGGAGCACCAACCCAGAGTGGGGCTTTGAGATAAAGGTTAGACTGGTAAACTCTAGAAAGTTGAGATGCCATAGGGATGGGAGACCATGGACAAGTGCCCATTTCCACACCCAAAGCTGCCTAAGTGAAAGCTTATGCATTGTTAATCTTTTAATGCCATAAAAACACTGTTGTCTTGCATTCATCAAAATGATTTCATTTAACCTCCCGTTTGCTAGTAAAATGGAATTATTGTGTTGCGAAATGATGCATATCTAAAAAGTGTGTCACCAACATGGAAAGTTTGGAAAGTTCTGCTTTAAAGCCATTTTTGTACCACACCTTTCCCCAGAAGTTCAGGATTCCATTATAGGGGGTATACAATTGTTCATAAAAGCTATTTGTAAATAAGCAACATTTTTATTTAAATTGCAATCCCTAGAATGTATTGCATCTGAGTGGAATATGTCCTGCCTTCTCTGTTGGAAGCAATATGTCTTATTTAAATTGCAATCCCTTCCTCTGTTGGAAGCAATATGTCTTATTTAAATTGCAATCCCTAGAATGTATTGCATCTGAGTGGAATATGTCCTGCCTTCTCTGTTGGAAGCAATATGCTTGGCAGGGGGTTGGACTCGATGGCCCTTGTGGTCTCTTCCAACTCTATGATTCTATGATTCTATGTCTCTGAATGTCAGGTGGTGAGAGCACTGTTGCACTCAGATCTTGCATGTGGACTTCCTAACAAGCATTTAGCTGATCACTGTGAACAGAGAACAAAAAAGTGATCGAGATTGAACTTTGGCCTGATCCAGCAGAGTATATTCCACAAATTGTGTAGAACTTGGCGTTTTCCCCAACTTCTTGTCTTCCCCTCCCTGTTTGCTTCTGAGAGCAAATTCCATAATTTAGCCATACATCATGTGAAGAAGTACTTTCTTTTGTCTGTCCTGAATCATCCAACATCCATCTTCATTGGATGTCCACAAGTTCTAGTGCTCAGGACCACAATACCTCAAGGACCGCCTCTTCCCATATGAACCAACCTGGACCCTGCATTCATCATTTGAGGCTCTTCTTTGTGTGCCTCTTGTGGAGGTCCAGAGGGTGGCAACACAAGAACTGCCTTTTCTTCAGTGGCTTGTGTTTTTATATTGTAAATCACCTTGTAATCCTTGAATGGAGCATGGTATAGAATTTTAATAAATAATAATTATAATAAGTTATCAGACAGCGAGAAAAACTTTTCTCTATCCACTTTCTCAATGCAATCCTATCATGTGGTCTTTCGTTTGCCTGTTATCTAAAGGCCCAAATGCTGCAATCTTTCCACATAGATAAGTTGCTTCATCCCTTTGATTATTGTAGTTGCCCTTTTCAGAAACCTTTCCACCTCTACAATAACCTTTTTGCAGCGAGGCTAGCAGAAATGTACACAGTTTTCACAGATGCCACACACTGGGTCAACATCTTCGTTGAGATATGTGGTATGATCCAAAGGTCTCATTCCTGGTCATTCACTGTCCATTCAGACCACACAAGCATACTGAATGTAAAAAATTTAAAAATTGGCCCCAACATGCATCACTTTGCATTTGTTTATACAAGCTATACAGCAGGCATAGGCAAACTCCGGCCCTCCAGATGTTTGGGACTACAATTTCCATAATCCCTGACCCCTGATCCTGTTAGCCAGGGATCATGGGAATTGTAGTCCCAAACATCTGGAGGGCCGGAGTTTGCCTGTGCCTGCTATACAGCAACATACCTTTGAGACAGAGGCTCGATTCCAATGCCTTTGTTGACTTGGCACAAGCCCCAGACCCCCTGTCTTGTGTTTATCAGAGCAATGGCGTATCTGATGTATTGTGCCGTATTTTTAATACTTTGTCTCAAAAAGGTATTTCCCTGTTATTTATTTTCATAGAAAATCACTCAGTTGCCCAGTTCAAGCATAGTGATCCTAATCTCTAAAACTATCGTTTATTGGACTGATCAGAAGTGATGTAGGAAGTATTCTTTCCTTGTCAGTATCCCAGTTTAGAGGGAGCTCTTAATGCATAATTCCCTCAATTTGGGTGATGTGGAAAGCAGTCATGTAAGAAACCTTCATCTAAGTCAGGTGCTCAAGGGAAGAAGGGGTGAGGATGGAAAGGTCATTCCCAATCTGATAGATCTTGGTTTATCAGACTAGGATCACTTGTGTATGAATTGTACAACTATGTTTGACAGGGGTAAATTTTAAAGATGTTGTAAGTTTAATTACTTCCTTTAGACCAGACCCCCTCAAAGGGTCAGCTACAACCCCCAGATTCCCAGCTTTCATTTTAAAAAAGCAGTAGCAAGTTTCCAGCATTTTTAGAACCCGAGGTGTGAGGCAAAAATGTACAGACACTATTCTTCTCAGTTTTGTGCGAAAGTAGCCTGCTTTGCCATTTCAGGGTTTTGTTTTGCCTCCCTCCTGAAAAAATTCCTGTGGATTCCCACATATGTGTGTGAGAGAGGAAGAAGTATGTATTTGCTGCCTCTGAGAAGGAGAGAGGTAGCTGTGTGTGTGTGTGTGTGTGTGAGAGAGAGAGAGAGAGAGAGAGAGAGAGAAGGGGGAGGTTTGTATGAATGTGTGATATGAGTGGTCTGTAGGGGAAATTGAGAGCTGAATATGCAAAGTATGTGATGTGGTCACCTTGTATATTTTTCTTGGTACTATGAAATCCTTCCTCTTGTTATTTTGCAGCAGTGGCATCATTGTGTGTCCGGGTGGAGTGGGGAGTAGAATTCAATATTGTGCGATTTCTACACTAAGGACCAGCAGGACATAGCTGACTTCCCATGGCAAGTTTTCCCTGGGTTGGGGAAGCAACAATGACTATTTTAGTGTTCTGCCATCCCCCATAACAGCCATTTCATGATTGGTGCCTGCCCCACTTTCTAAAAATTCAGAATGTGCCTGTTGGTTCAAAAAGGATGGTGAACCCTGCTTTGTAGTTTTACAAAAATAACTTTACAATATATCTATTTTTTTTAAAAAAAATCTTTTTAAAAAAGACATTCCTGATGTCATCACATGGTTTCTTTCCCCAACCCTGTTTTGCTGGTTAGCTCAGGTGGTTAGAGCAGGGGTCGGCAACCTAAAGCCCATGGGCCACAAGCGGCTCCCATGTGCCGTGCTAAACCAGTGCAGAGCAGAGCGGGGACCACCTTCCGCGATGCTGGCTGGCTTCCCATTGGCTGCAGGAAGGTCCTGCAGCCAATTAGCGCTTGAACGCGCGCACACACTCTGACCCACCATGGCGTCTGCAGGACCATGAACCGGCCCAAGCCACAAAAACTTTGCCAACCCCTGGGTTAGAGCATGGTGTTGATAATGCCAAGGTCATGGGTTTGAAACCCGTATGGGTGCATATTCCTGCAGTTCAAGTAGATGACCCGTGGGCATGGAAGCTCAGAGCACAACGGCATCAGGACAGAAGAAAGTTTCACTGCCCATTATGGAGGGAATGAATTGCACCCAGGGCTGTTGTTTCCATAATACCTGTTACCGTCCTTTGCCTTGCAGAGAGCTCCACTGCCCTGAGTTTTGTTTCCACTCTGATTAAATTACCGGTTTTGTACAGCTCTTCCTTTCATAACAAGCTGGGGGGGCGGCTCAGGGATTTCCTTCAAGCAGTCTTGACCCCCTGACCAATTGACCTGTGATTCAAGATCAAATGTGGAAAATTCCAGCCCTTGCATATTTTAAATTATCAGCACTGTCAGCTCTTAACTGTGCCATATGGTGCAGTTCTACTGGGACTTAGGTCATTTCAACACATTTACCTGCAGCAGCAAATATGTAAATCTTTGTAGAAATGAAGTATTTCTATAGTTTTGGGCAGAAGTTACTTTTTTAGTATCTTCACTGTGCTGACACAGGCAGTCACTATTAGGTAGGCATGAACTGATGCTGTTGTAATGCACTGCTTTAAAAATGCTGTTTTCTGGCCACATCCACACCACCCATTTAAAGCACTGCTATACCACTTTAGCGGTTATAATAATAATTTGTTATTTGTACCCCAGCCACTCTGGCCGGCTCCCAACAGAGTCACTGGGAGATGCCTCACAGAGCTACAACTCCCAGACCCTCAACAAACTACAGTACCCATGTTTCTTTGGGGGAAGCAATGACTGCCAGAGAGCACTTTAAATGTAAGGTGCAGAAGGAAACGTTTACAAGTGCATGTTTTTAGATTCATCAAATGATATCAGAGAAGCCCACCAGCCTCTCAACCAATGGCAATTTACTGTGTATATTATAATCACTGGTGGATTGCTTTCTTTTCAGATCGGTGGTGTCGTTTGGGTCCAAGAACAGGGCAATTGGAGTGTCTGCTAAGAACCAAGTGAGTCATTTTCTGAATAACAGCAAGGGAAATTACCCTGGGAAATTAGTAAAGTGGCTGTTTTGAAAATAAGACACTGGGAATAGAAAAAAAATAAATTACCCATGCTGCTTCTCAGAATGTAGGTTGCTGAAATTATACTAATAACTGCTGCCAAACCTGTCAGATGGGGAGAGGACTATTACACTCATGCTCTGCTTAGAGATTTCCAAAGGCATTGGGTTGGCCACTGTGAAAACAGGATGCTAGGCTAGATGCGGGACTTTTTCCTAATCCAGTAGATCTTTTCTCATGTTCCTATACTGGGCAGAGAGGCAAATGCTGAGTGTAGCCCTTCAAGCAGCTGTTTTCTACACTGCTTGGGCTTTCCAGTGACCCAGAAACTCATCAGATGGGCCAATGGCCTGTCCCCCTTTGGCTGCTGCTTTTTAAAGTACCAGGTAAACAGATGGTGCTACATATATTATTCATCTGTCTATCAAAGCCAAGTCTGAATTGTAGATGGAGGCCACTCACCTATCAATCATCAAACATCATGACCTGCAGGGATTGGGGTCGGGGGGAGTGGCGGAGGAAGGGGGTGGGAGGGTGCGGTCCATCCCAGGTGTCATCGTGGTGTAGTGGTGAAGAGCGGTGGACTCGTAATCTGGTGAACCGGGTTCACTTCCCCGCTCCTCCACATGCAGCTGCTGGGTGATCTTGGGCTAGTCACACTTCTCTGAAGTCTCTCAGCCTCACTCACCTCACAGAGAGTTTGTTGGGGAAGAAGGGAAAGGAGATTGTTAGCCGCTTTGAGACTCCTTAAGGGGAGTGAAAGGCAGGATATCAAGTCAAAACTCTTCTTCCTCATCATCATCTTAATCACTGAGGGGGGGTGTGACAAAATGACAAAAATAAGATTTTAAAAATAATAATTAAAAAATGGGCTCACAAAACTTTTTAGTTCAGTCAACAAACGTAACGAAATGCGGCTGGCATTGGGCGCCACACCACAGGGGCCGGCACTTACCTGGGAGTGACGTGGTAGCTTGGGTGCTTGCAGTCTCCGCGCTGCCTGAAACGGCAGCGTGGGGCTTGCGTCTGCCCAACTTCTCTCCCTCAGCCGCCCTACAGCTGAGGGGGAGGCGGCGGAGAGGCTCCATGCAGCATGCTCTGCCCCTATGGGTAGCTCGCCCTGCCCCTGGCTGCAGGACGCGCACGCTGCACTGGGCACCTGAGCAGCTAGCTATGCTGCTGCTCAGGGGTCTGCTTCACCAGAATGTTTCTCACGAGGAAGCACACTGGTGGATCAAAACGCAGGAAGGCTGAGCCCAACTGCCAGGATCAAATATGATGTTGGGTCAGTTGATTGACAGGTGGGGTTGGTTGAGGGAAATATCCCCTCAGGTCAAATTGGACCCTCTGGCATGCCACGAAGAGCCCACATTCCAGCATGACCTCATGCTCTTCAATGTCTACATGAAACTGCTGAGGGAGCTCATCCAGAGTTTTGGAGTGCATTGTCCAAGTGTGGCAGTGGATATGTTTTCCTTGGGTTGCGGACCGGATGGGATCCAATAAACCGAAGCTCAATCCCGACAAGACTGAGGCACTGTTAGAGTGTGATCCCCTGTTCTGGATGGGGCTACACTCCCTCCAAAGGAGCAGGCGCATAGCTGGACTGTCGCTTGAGGCTCAAGTGGCCTTGGTGGTGCCGAGTGCCCAGCTGCACCCCTCTCTGAACAGAAACAGCCTCATTTCAGTTATCCTTTCTCTGGTAGCCTCTAGGTTAGATTATTTTAATGCCATATACACGGGGCTTCCTTTGAAGTTGATTCAGAAACTGCAACTGGTGCAGAATTCGAGAGCCAGATGACTGACGTTAAGATGGTCTGAGCATATAAAATCAATTCTGTCACCAATTTTGTTTCTGTGCTCAGTTCAAAGTGCTGGTTTTGACCCATAGACCCTTATGTGACTTAAACCCCCAATACCTCAAGGACAGTCTCTCCCCACATGGACCAACCTGGATCCTGTGCTCACCATCCATGTGCCCCCTTCAAGGGAGGAGCAGAGAGTGTTGACACAAGAACAGACCCTCTTCAGGGAGGCCTACCTTGTGCTTTCATAACTTAACTTTAGGCACCAGGAAAAAGTGTTTCTACCAGGCTATTGATTTTTCATTATCTCTGGCTTCTTCCTTCAGTGGGTGGTATGTTTTAGTCCTGCCCTTTAAAAATATGAATGAATTACAGATTTTACTCTGCTTTAGTTTTATGCTAGTTTTAATGCTATATTTTTAATGTTGCAAGATGCTTTGAGTTACTTTAAAAAATAATACTAATGAGTTAAATAAATTATTGTGTCCCTCCCACCTGTAAAAGTTGGCCCGCAAGAAGGAGCCAGTTAGAAAAGGTTGCCCACCCCAGCTTTAACTAGTAATGATAAATGAAACTTGAAGCAATAAAGAACTTGAAACATGCCTATACTTGAAATGTGCCTTTGCTGACAATAGATCTCAGTTTGCTTCTGGCATCTTCTTTGACAAGATGGCCAGTCATCAGGGGTTTCTCTCTCCACCCCCCTCCATTTGCAGTTAATTACCCATGCAAAGAACACGGTGTTTAACTTCAAGAGATTCCACGGCCGTACATGGAACGATCCTTTTATCCAGAAGGAGAAAGAGCACTTGAGCTACTCTGTTGTTCCAATGAAAAATGGAAATGTTGGAATAAAGGTAAGACGAATTCATCGCTTCTATGATTTTACTTCTTTTTTTTTTTTTGTCAATCTCCTTTCGTAAGATAAATGGGAGTACCTCACACTATGCCAACCTTGACTGCAGCTCATGGTTTGTCTGGAGCAAGACAAACCATGACCTTTGGTTTGATGTTAATGTCGAGTCAGGGGTAGAGAATCTCTGGCCTGCTCACCTCATTAGGTCTTCTAGGCCCAGCCATGTCTGCCCATCTTATACTTGATGTCAGGAGGGAGGTAAAGAGGTTTGTAGGCACCACCAGTCAGCTGTAATGTGTTATCTGAATCGGATAAATGGTGGTTAAGCTTTAATGTGTGTTTTGTTTGGAACAAACCAACCTCAGATCATAATTATGAAGCTGGCTTATTTCAGCAAAATATTGTTAAGGCTTACCACTGTTAGGGTTTGGATGAAATATTAAGCTGTGCTTAAAGGTAAAGGGACCCCTGAACATTAGGTCCAGTCGTGGCCAACTCTGGGGTTGTGGCGCTCATGTTGCTTTATTGGCCGAGGGAGCCGGCGTACAGCTTCTGGGTCATGTGGCCAGCATGACCAAGCCGCTTCTGGTGAACCAGAGCAGCGCACGGAAACACCGTTTACCTTCCCACCAGAGTGGTACCTATTTATCTACTTGCAGTTTGACGTGCTTTTGAACTGCTAGGTTGGCAGGAGCAGGGACCAAGCAACGGGAGCTCACCCCGTCGCGGGGATTGGAACCGCCGACCTTCTGATCTGCAAGTCCTAGGCTCTGTGGTTTAACCCACAGCGCCACCCGCGTCCCTTAAGCTGTGCTTAATTGAAAGCAAAAGCTTCTCATGGCCATAGTGGAGGGGAGCAAAGCTCCCTGCTGCTCATGTCATGATTAACCATAGTTTATCTTTACACCTGAATGTGGTTGTTGTGGCTTTTTCCCCGCCCCTCATACTTCAGCCTTTTCTTCAGATCTTGGCCTCCTGTCAGTTTTCTCACATTCTCGGGGTGGCTCTCTGTGTGTGCGTGTTGCTCATTTACAGCTAGCTTTGACTTTCAGATGGGCAATAGGAAATGTTTTTGGAATAATTGTTTTGTAGAACGAATGTTTGGTGATTCGAATCTAAGAATAGGGGACTGACCTGGCTTGGGCCTGGTTGGAATTGCTGCAATAGTTGCTTTACTCTTGTTTCGTTTCTTCAGGTTATGTACATGGACGAGGAGCATTTATTTAGTGTGGAGCAGATAACAGCTATGCTGCTGACGAAACTGAAGGAGACGGCAGAGAATAACCTCAAAAAGCCTGTCTCTGATTGCGTTATTTCAGTAAGTTAGCTCCATTTAACCTTGGGTTTGTATTTGTCTCCTCTTGTGCTGACCCTGTAGAAGCTTTTCAATATTTTGTTGTGCAGGTGTCTATGCAACTTTGAATATTGAATATAACTGGACCCAGCGGGTGATGTGGGGCTATCTGATGCTGCAGCATCGGTGAAGCTAAGCAGGTGGAGAATGAAAGAGAAACCTCTCTGGGACACCCACGTAAATGTGGAGGCATTGTTAAGATGTGAAAAGAAAACATTGCATTTGGTTACTTATAGATCTATAAGAGTAATATATGAGTGTAATTGAAATAGGCAAGAGATAATGACAAGTACTAATAGCACATATATCATGTATTAGTGCAAAGTGGTGTGAAATACTGTGGGCAGTATCCAGCGTTCCTTTTCTGCCAATGTAAGAGAGTTCCACTTGTGGAATGAAACTTCCCCTCCTCTCCTCTTCCCTGCCCCCCCGCACCCTCAAAATCAGCTATATTGGGGCAGGGGGACTTTCTGAAGCAGTTTCGGGACAGGCCTGTAGGAGAAGAGGAGGGGAAAATTCCGTTGTACAAAGTGAGTTCTGCCTGTGGAGCATTGGATACAACCAAGACATAAAAAAATCATACAGTAAACATATACACAATGATTACACTGGTCAACAACAAATTTGTTGTCTGCATTTTTTCAGTTGATTTAGGACGAATCTGATGCGCTGAATCCAAAAATCACATTGGTTTTGCTCAATCAGGTCACGTTTTTGAGCTATGGCCACATGTATTTTTTTACGTTTTTGTTCACGTGTACACTTGTGTGGAGCATTTTAGAAGAAGTTGGTGGGGGTAAAATGCCATGTCGAATAATTGTTTTGATTGGAAATGATTATTTTAATGACAAGAAGTATTCAGGTCCGATAGTTCTGAGTGATTATGTCGAAAAGGGATCAGTTTGAAGTCATAAAACCTCGAAATCTTCCATAAATTGGTGCGGCAAGGCATAAAGTTGGGGAATCAAAGCTAAGTTAATGGGGCAGCCGCCCCACAAAGTGTATAGGAAACTCGATGCCGAACTGTTGGCATCCAGATTGAAGGAAAAAAACCTCCTCTCTGACAGTGCTCGCATCAGCTTCTTCCGCAACAGGCATCAAGAGTACCTCCGTTTTTTCTCGGAAGAGAAGGACTTGGTGTACTGTGCAGATATTATGCAGCTTCTGCTCAAGCTTGGAGTGCCACAGTACGAACCCAAAGATTGGAGACTGTTCATTGACAGCAGCAAGCGGTCACTGAAATGTGTTCTGCTACACAACGGCAACCAGTTTGCCTCTATACCCCTGGCTCACTCGACTACACTGAAGTAGAACTATGAAGCGGTGAAGTATGTGCTGGAGAAAATTTGTTATGATCAGCATAAGTGGTTTATTTGTGTTGACCTGAAGATGGTGAACTTTTTGTTGGGACAACAGTCTGCCTACACCAAGTACCCATATTTTCTGTGCATGTGGGATAGTAGGGACCATGCTCAGCATTACACGAAGAAGGACTGGCCTGTGTGGGAGGAATTGGTGCCTTGCAAAGAAAGGAATGTCATCAACGACCCTCTGGTGGACAGAGACAGACTACTCTTCCCACCGCTGCACATCAAGCTCGGCTTAATCAAGCAGTTCACCAAGGCTCTGGACAAGGATGGTGACTGCTTCACTTACTTGTGCCAGGCTTTTCCAGGATTGACCATGGAGAAGTTGAAAGCTGGCATCTTTGACGGTCCTCAGATCCATCAGCTCATCAGAGATCCAGAGTTCGGAAATTCAATGAACGAAGTGGAACTGGAAGCGTGGAAGGCATTTTTTCTGGTAGTGAAGAACTTTCTTGGCAACAATAAGGCCAGAAACTACGCAGAACTTGTCAACAACATGCTGACTGCTTTCAGAAACCTGGGCTGCAACATGAGCGTCAAGATGCACTACCTATTTTCACATATGGACCGGTTTCCTGAGAACCTGGGTTCAATGAGTGACGAGCGGGGGAGAGATTCCATCAGGACATGAAAGAGATGGAGACCAGGTATCAGGGTCGCTGGGACGCAGTCATGATGGCTGACTACTGTTGGACTCTGAAGAGAGACCTCCCTGCCGCTGAGCATTCCAGGAGTTTTAAGAAACGGAAGTTCAAGCCCTGACGTTTGAAAAATAGTGAAGCGACATGCAATTTACGTGTACTTACCTTTATCAATGCCCACCATTCAGTATACAGTAATCAATGTTTCTATCAGGTAATCAATATATGTTGCTGGAAAAACATTTTTTCTCTTAAAAACATATTTAGGATGATATGTGTTGACAAAAATCAGCTGATAATGCCACAAAAATGTAATCGATTTTGTCACAAGATCTGATTTTTTCAAATCAACACAGCACAAAAACCTGACCTGATGGAGAGAAACGGATGCCATTTCCTGATTCAGCAGTGCAAAAATACCCTAAATCAGTTGTAGAAATCTAGACAACATTCAAAAAGTAAAAAATTGTTACCCAGTGTTATGAATTCCTAATATAAGGCTTTTAATTAATTATACATTCGCATGGATAGTTGGCAAAAAAAAAAAAGAATTAATTCTACATCATAAACCACCAACGTGTGTTTTAAAATTGGGTGGCTTATGTTGAAGACTTAAAGGGAGCTGATTTTTGCCAGCTTTCCATGAATTTATAATTATGCAAACGTGTTATGTAAATGTATTATATTGCATGTTGCTACAGTGTGCCATTCATTTTAAAATAACTGCAGAAGTGTGAGAATATGCATTTTAAAACATTTATATCCCATCCTATTGTGTGCTAACTTTTATTTGCTTGGTATTTATGTACTTAAGCATAGGTTGGGGTGAAGTGTTTTTTTGTTTGGTAATATTGAATTTATTCTGTGTTTGCTAAATTGTTGACTTTCATTATTTTGAATTTACTGACGTGTTTTGTATCTTGTATATTTGTGTTTCCAATGTTCTCTATTTTGATGTTTTGAATGTGTGCTGTAATCCACTATGGGCACAGCTAGTTGAGGAAAAGTCACATCTTAGTAAAATCAATCGGTCTTCTCAACATGTTACTCAATGCAATGTCCTTGCTGAAATCAGCCGTCAGGGTTGCACTGGGGCGGCGAATGAGAAGCCAACTTAGTAGCCAGGGCTGAAACAATGTGCCTTTAAATTACTGCAAAAGAAGCCCAGAGAGATTGTATTTTAAAAACAAACTAGCAGGACTTTTGGTAACCCTCCATACCTCTATGTGATCGCTTCCCCTAGGTTCCAACTTTCTTCACTGATCCTGAAAGGAGGTCTCTGCTGGATGCTGCTCAGGTTGTGGGCTTGAATTGTCTCAGGCTCATGAATGATATGACAGCAGGTGGGCCAATGAAATTTACTTCCTGTTTACGTAGAACAAAGTGTCTCTTCTCACGATTATAGCCACGCCTACCGTCGATGCGAAAGCATATTGTGAAAATGTGCTGTCCGGGCATGTAAATTTTCCCAGCAGATGTGTAAGCTCAGAAAACTGCTTCTGGAGTTCATAAGGGCATTAGGTGTCAGCTAATAACCAATTTATCAAGGCCGCATGGTTGGGGATGGTGAAGGGAAAAGGCAGACTGCAACTATTCATCTTTTCTGCTACATTTCTGAGTAAGCGAACTTTGCTGTCTTAAGTGTATGCCAGGGTTGAATGCAGCGTCGCCTCCCCAGCTGGAAGTGCCATTGACTTTCTAGCTGTCGTAAGCAGCTTTGACTTAACATCAATGGTTTGTCTTTTCCCAGTGGCCCTGAACTACGGGATTTACAAGCAGGACCTTCCAGCTCCGGAAGAGAAACCACGATTGGTGGTGTTCATAGATATGGGCTACTCGGCATTTCAAGTCTCCGCCTGCGCTTTTAACAAGGGTAAAGTGAAGGTAGGCAGAGCCTGAGGGGCCGATATGAGCAGACCTGTGGGCAAACTCATTTCCGGGAATGTGGATGCAGAACGTCGAAAACTGGAAAGGCGAGGAGAAAAGCTCTATGCAGAGTGTTGCAAACAGGACAGAAAGCAAGCAGCATGTGGTCAACTGGGGCCAGAGGTCTGAGTGGTTCAGCTAGGAGCGGTGCATCAGGCAGGGCTAAGCCGCAGCAGGAGCGTCCTGGCTGCAGGGCTGCTGCTACTTCCCACGAAGGGGAGAGGGAGGTGACAAGTGAGGTCAGGGCTGCCTTTGTATCGGTGTAATGTGGACAATGGGATAAATAACACAATGCTTAGTCTCGTGTCTTGAGGAGCACACCCCCCATATCTGGATGTTCTGAGATAAGAGACCAGGTGCACTGGGTTACCATAGCAACAGAGGTCGGGTGTGTGACTGCTGAGTCATTCACCCTCCCATTGGCTCAGGGATGTAGAGACAGGTATAATAGTCTCTGGGGCATTGCTTTCATTGGGTCCAGTTACATCTCCTGGTGCTGTCCTGGTCTGACTCTGAATCTGTGAGAGTCAGGAAAAGGCTGTGGGTTTTGCACAGCAGCGTTGGCTAGCATGGCAATTGTGTCAGCAGATCTCTCTGTACATACGTATACAGTGGTACCTCGGGTTACATACGCTTCAGGTTACAGACTCTACTAACCCAGAAATAGTGCTTTAGGTTAAGAACTTTGCTTCAGGGTTTGAACAGAAATTGCGTGGCGGCGGCAGGAGGCCCATTAGCTAAAGTGGTGTTTCAGGTTAAGAACAGTTTCAGGTTAAGAGCGGGCCTCTGGAATGAATTAAGTACTTAACCCGAGGTACCACTGTATTTAATTCAGAAACCAGAAGAACTGTATATAGTAAATAGCTGTCTTGCTCCTGAAGACAGTGATCACTTTGTTGCTTTGCACTGTGTGGGAGAGGAGTTTTCCCCTCAACTAGGGACTCTGGAAGAAGCTGTCTGCTGGGAGCAGGAAAACCCTGAAGACTCTACTGAGGCTCTGCATACTGGGACGATACATCACACGGGTTGCGGTGTGGTGAACTACCAACTGGCTTGCACAAGTCACTAACAGTGGGCGTGTTGACGGGAGTGCCAGATCGGCTCTGTTGGTGTACCTGCACAACTCCAACCTCCCCCTCTCCCAGGGAATGGCAGTGGCATCACTGATGGGCTGTTTATTGCTACAGCTCCACCCCATCTGGTGATCCACTCCTGTCCTTTCCATTCATCCTTCCGCCAAGTTACCTGTCCCCAGTGTTCAGCATGATGTGGCCAATGAGCACACTCCACTCCCATTGGACAATCCTGGGGTTCCCTCCACCTCTTTGCTTTAGTTGTGCTTCTGTAAATTTTGTGGGTCTTTTGTGTATCTGTATTGTACGTTTCGGCCACTTGAGCAACTGCGCTCACACCGGAACTTCGGAAATAGACGGAATGATGGAATCTTACCCATGAATTATGCCTGCTTGATTTGAGTATGTTCTCCCAAGCTGGCCCTAAACTGGTCCTGCCTGTGTTGATTTAGCATGCACTGGGAGCTCTGCGTATGTTTGTACATGGATGTCAATGTTATGATTAGACAACGCTGGTTGGTAGTGCCGTTTGCTTAGCCTTCGTATCAATAGTCATTTCATTCCAGGTTTGAATGACGGTGCTATGTAGGGCAGCTAACATTGCCTTCTTTTCTTCCAACCAGGTGCTTGGCACAGCTTTTGATCCTTTTCTGGGCGGAAAAAGCTTTGATGAAAAACTAGTGGATCACTTCTGTGCTGAAATAAAAGCCAAGTACAAACTGGACCCCAAATCTAAAGTACGGGCCCTTCTTCGTTTATACCAGGAGTGTGAGAAGCTGAAAAAACTAATGAGCTCAAACAGCACAGATATCCCACTTAATATTGAATGCTTTATGAATGATATAGACGTGTCTGGAAAGATGAATAGGTGAGAGATCCCTCTGATGCGGTTCAATTATACTGGAAAGAATAGATTGCATGGAAACCTTTGAACAAAAAGACAAACAAGAGAAGGTTTATACTTCATAGGAAGCACGTCAGATATAGTTCTACGTTACAGTTCTGTCACCACAAGGATTTCTGCTTGCCCTGTGGGGCGTTCTTCCCCCTGCACACCCCCTAAATCTGTCCTAGGGGTTCCCCCAACCCTCTGGAGCAGATTTGGGGAAGGTGCAGGGTGCACACAGTGGCAGGAAGAGGAGAGGAAATTGTGCAAGCGGAAGTCTTTGCACTTGCGGGATGCGGTAGCTGAAGGCCATCCTTTGTAAAAAGTGTGAAGTAGCCTTTTCTAGGCATGCACAGGAGCTACTAATGGAGGCACCAGTGAACTGTCCTTATCCTTGTCTTGACCAGGCACAGGAGTGTCGTGCCCAGTGAGGTGGCGCTGCAGTGCTAGCTTCCAGGCAATGGTTTTGCTTACCAAGGAGGAGAGAAGTTTGTGGGGGTGCCAGCTCACCCGCAGGAGCTCCAGATCAACTTCACTGCACAACTCCAGCCTCCTTGCCCCACCCTTCCTCCTGCTAAGTGGAAGTAACTGCCATTAAGTCTAAACGTAACAGTAGCACCCCTGTCTTTCTCCCCTTTCAAGTGAAAGCTCTCAAGACTCTGTCTCCAGCCACAATATGTGAATGTGCATTTGCCATCAAACACCTGCTTTGGGGAGCTCCTTCCTTCCCATTTTGTCCCTAGTTCACTGGTGCAGAAGAAAAGCTTTCTCTCGCTTTTGAACCAACCAAGGCGATCAGGGTTGAGCAATCGCCACAGACTGCCTTGCTTGAACTCCAGGGAAGCCTCAGCCCTCGGTTTCCCTTTGTGTTTTTTCTGCCTAGATCCCAGTTTGAAGAAATGTGTGCTGACCTCTTGCAAAAAATAGAGCTTCCCCTTCGTTCCTTGATGGACCAGACTCAGCTCAAAGTGGAGGATGTGCACGCTGTGGAAATTGTTGGCGGAGCCACGCGCATGCCAGCTGTCAAAGAGAAGATCGGGAAGTTCTTTGGCATGGACGTGAGCACCACACTGAACGCCGACGAGGCTGTCGCAAGAGGCTGTGCCTTGCAGGTGCGTGGGCAACAACCTCCTTCTGGGAGATGGGTCTCTTGGCTTCAGCTGGTCCACATTTTGGGGGTGCCTTTGGAAGGGAGCATTTCTGCTGGAGAAGTGGCGGGTGGTGGGACCTTAACCCACCCAGCATCGTTCTGCTCTAAATTTCCCCCACCCTGCCGGCAGCTTTCCCTCCACAGGTTAAAAACAAGTACTTATTAATTACATGTATGCTTCCAAAACAAGTCGTGATATCATGTTGAATCTGTCTGGATATATGTACCTGGCAACTGATTTTAGTGTTGTCTGGTTTTGTTTGAATGATGTAATTCTGTTTCCTTTAATGGTCACCCACTTTCTCACGGCCACGCATCTCAAGTGATGCGAGTTTCCCAGAAAAAAATTTTTTGCCTCATTGGGAAACTTGTCGCTCCTATCTTTAGTAAATGAAACTTCAAATGTTTGATGCTTCCAAACTTGCGTTACGTGGCATTTGTGGTTGGCATCCATTTATTGTTGCTCTTGAGCTTACAAAAGGAAAATTTTTATGCGGAAAAACTAAAAAAGTCCTGGGAAATTTTTCCCCCCATCCTACCTCACCGGTTATCCTCAAGTTGTATGACAAATCCGTAGCTTCTGAATTAACGTACTATCTCATGTGTATATTTATTGTTTATTTAATGCTGTTTATAGACCGTTTTTCAGGCAGACCTCAGTAATTTTCATGAGATTGACACAAAAATAAGCATTCCTTTTTATTTCTGAAAAAAAAAGTTCAAATAAAATGAAACAGGTGACTTGTTTGTGTAGAAGATGCTGTTTCTACTTCTGTCCTCAAGATAAGCTGGTCCTTTTTTTTGTTTGTTATATAATAACTTAATTCCAGGTAACGTGTCTCACTAGGATTACATCGCAAATTGGTTTTGCTGTTACAGCTTCTGCACATAAAGATGCTTCCTTGTCTCTGATGTTTAGTCTCTTCTGTTTGGCTAAACCAGTAGCACATCCCACTGTTTCTTCCTCACATCTTGCTTTCTCTGAGCTAATGGATAGACTTTAACTGGGGGGAGGTTTCTAATTCCATCTTTTTATCTCTTAGTGTGCAATTCTGTCTCCAGCTTTTAAAGTTCGAGAATTCTCCATCACTGAATCCGTTCCGTTCCCAATATCACTGCTGTGGAGCACAGAGTCTGAAGATACTGATGGGTAAGAAACACCCCCCCCCCCAAAAAAAATATTTCCTGTTCTTGCACAACTGACCTCCTAATGTTAACGTGCAACTCCGGTTGGGGCTAGCCAGCTGCACAATTGGGGCCTGCATACCTTGGATTTTACAGATAAGACCTCATTGTGTGTTGTACCCCACATGGGTACAGCTGGTGATGTCGAAGGCAGGGCAGCTCTGTTGGGATTTGGGAAGCGCTGTACCTCATTGATAGAGCATCTGCGTTTTGTGCAGAAGGTCCCCTGTTCAGTCTTCAGGTAGGACTGGGAGAGATTCTCTCTGAAACTCTGGAGAGCTGCTGCCGGTCAGTAGACAGGGTTGAGTTAGATGGACCAGTGGTCTGACTCTGTATAAGGCAGCTTCCTATGTTCCTGGATAGGAAGATATACTTTAGATGATATTGGTGAGAGAGTTACCAATCAAGTCCTGAAATAAATAGCTCCTAGATATTAAAGTCATACCTACGGGACCGCCTCTCCTGGTATGTCCCACGGAGGACCTTATGGTCTTCAAAAAAAAACATCTTGGAGGTCCCGGGCCACAGGGAGGTTAGACCGGCCTCAACCAGAGCCAGAGCTTTTTTGGCTGTGGCCCCGATCTGGTGGAACGCTCTGTCACAAGAGACTAGAGCCCTGCGGGACTTGATATCTTTCTGCAGGGCCAGCAAGACAGAGCTGTCCAACCAGGCCTTTGGCCAAGGCACAATCTGACCCCCTCCTTTGGTAATCCTCACAGAACTGTAGCCCAATGGTTGCCATTATTTTGCTTCTGATTTGATTTTAGGATGAATTGATTTTAGAATGTATTTCAATTAATTGATTGTGACTTTATATAAATGGTGTTACTTTTACTGTTGTTAGCCACTCTGAGCCCAGCTTTGGCTGGGGCGGGTGGGATATAAATAAGTTGTTTTTTTAATTATTATTATTATTACTATGTGCAATACACATTTTACAGAAGGTCAGGTGTGGTGGGCCAGTTGCAATCTACTGTAAGGTTGGCTTCAAAATAATACGGAGGTCTAACTTGTTCTCCCTCTCTTTTGTTTTGACTGTAGAATTCATGAAGTGTTCAGCAGGCATCATGCAGCCCCTTTTTCCAAAGTCTTGACTTTTTACAGAAAGGGCCCATTTGAACTCCAAGCTTTCTATTCTGATCCCGGTGGCACCCCCTACCCTGAGAAAATGATTGGTAAGTGAATGTTCCCTTCTCAGCCAATATACCGGTTGCTGGAAAACACAGAAGGGGAACGGGCTCTTGTGGTCGAATCCTGCATCTGGTTGGTCACTCTGAGGAGGACAGGATGCTGGACTAGATAGGCCACTGGCCTGATCCACCAAGTTCTTAAGATTTCAATCCTTGGCAGTGTTTAGCCGTATAAAATTGGCATTGCTAGTCCGATAATGGCCTAGTACACACATAATGTTAAACTCTGGTTAATATGACTGTGCAATTGCTGTGTCATGATAGAAAGACAAAATCAGAGCCTCACGTGGCATTACTTGCAGTTTCCCACCAAACCAACCATGACTGGAAACCAAGATTTGTTCTTGGCTTATTGTTCATCATTTCTTTGGCTGAAACAAACCACCAGCCCTGGTTTGCATGTAGCACCAAGCCTTGCTCTGGTTTGTTTGCTCCTTAGCATGGCAACAGCAGGAGTGGGAAACGAGTGAAGTAAGAGCTTTTTGGCAACATGCGCCAACATGCCGGTTTACATTAAACCATTTTTAACTGTGGTTTAATACTTTGCACAAACCAGGGCATTGGCAGATTTGTATCTCTGGCTGTGTGGTATACTGCAGAAATGTTGCACAAAGTTCCTTTTTTAAAAAAGAAAAGAAAAAGTAGCACTGGAGTTTTGTGTACACACCCAGTATTTTTTTTAACATTGCAGCGCCGACTGGTTGTGTCAGTGTTGTTGAAACAATAACGATAATTGCAATGGAGTTTCATGCCCACTCATGTCATTGGATCTAGTAATGTTGGCTTCAGCTCTTAAGCATTAAAAGTCCTAGACAGTTTGAAAAATTTTCCATCCTTTTTTAGTCTTGCGTCTCTCGATAGTTGAGGGCCTTCTAGAAATGGCGTGGTTTGGGGGATAATTTACGACTCCCGTGCTTAACTTTGGGACCACTCTCTTGTTTAAAGGCAAATACGTTATCCAGAATATCGCAGCCCAGAATGATGGGGAGAAAACTAAAGTCAAGGTCAAAGTTCGCATCAATACTCATGGCATATTTAGTGTCTCTACTGCGTCTATGGTGGAGCAGATGAAAGAGGAAGAGAATGAAAATCACAGTGTTGAGGCTGTAGTAGATGCTCAGAATCAAAAACCTTCAGAGGAGGACATTAATGTAAGTTGGGTTCTTCACCTGGAATACACGGCCATCCTTCAGTGGTAGGGGCACATTTCTTTCCGTGCGGAAGGGCTGGGGTTCAGTCCCTGACACAGCCAATTAAATAGCTCAGATAGCTGTTCCCTTTGTGTGACCCTGGAGGACCATTGCCAGTCAAAACAGATGATATATAAGGCAGATTCCTATGTACGTCTGGTTGGAAAACTTTAAAATTACTTGAGAGGAAGCAAGCTTTTCATTGTTCTATTTTCTTTTTCTATAAGATGGGAAGGGAGGTATTTCTACAGCCTCATGGGGAAAATTAGGCTGTATAAACACTGTACCTTTAAAGCACACACACAGACACCCTGAGAATTCTGGGCACTGTAGTTTAAGGGTTCCTTGGAATTTTAACTATGTGAGAAGTGAATTCTTCAAGGGAAAGAATGTTGTTCAAAGGTATAATGTGTATGCAGCCATAGAAATGGTGTGGAATGCCTTCCATCAGCTTCAGCTGGTGGCCCAGCTCTGCCCATCTGGATAGCCTAACTACTGTTGCCTACGCTCTAGTAACCTCTAGGTTAGATTAGTGCAATGTGTTATATGTAGGGCTGCCTTTGAAGATGGTTCAGAAACTTCAGCCTGTGCGGAACTTGGCAGCCAGGTTACTCACGGGGACAAGATGGTTTGAGCCTATTATACCAATCCTGGCCCAACAGCACCAGCTGCCAGTTAGTTTCGGGCCCAATTCAAAGTGCTGCTTTTGACCTAGAAAGCCTTAAATGACTCAGAACCACAGTATCTCAAGAGCCACCTCTCCCCCTATGACACTGCGATCATCACCTGAGGCCCCTCTTTGTGTGCCGCCTCCTGAAGAGATCCAGAAGACAGCAACACAAGAAGGGGCCTTTTCCATGATGGGTCCCCAGTTGTCAAACGCTCTTCCCAGGAAGGCTCACTTGGCAGCTTCATTACTTACCTTTCGGCTCCAGGGGAAAATGTTTCTCTACAACCAGGCCTTGGGGCTGATGAACATTCTGTGGCCTTTTAAATACAGTGGTGCCTCGCAAGACGAAATTAATCCGTTCCGCGAGTGTCTTCGTCTAGCGGTCTTTTCGTCTTGCGAAGCAACCCTATTAGCGGATTAGCGCTATTAGCGGTTTAGTGGCTATTAAAGGCTTATCGGCTTAGCTGCTAAAAGGCTATTAGCGGCTTAGCAGCTTAGAAAAAGGGGGGGGAAGTGAAAAAAAATCTCAAGACTCGCAAGACATTTTCGTCTTGCGAAGCAAGCCCATAGGGAAATTCGTCCTGCGAAGCAACTCAAAAACGGAAAACCCTTTCGTCTAGCAGGTTTTCCGTCTTGCGAGGCATTCGTCTTGCGGGGCACCACTGTACGTTTGTGGGAAGGGAGTGTTTACTGGATTTTGTTTTATTGTGTATTGCATGTTCTCATTTTGAATTATGTTGTGAACTGCCCTGTGATCTTTGGGTGAAGGGCGATATACAAATTCAATAACTAATATATTCACATTAATAATTATTATAAATTGTGCTATAGTACGCAATTCACCTATCAGATTGGATCATCTCTTTAGAGTTGTTCCAATAATTGGGATGGCTACTTGGATTTGAATTTCCATCAGCCTCAGTCAGGGATGCTGGGCATTTTAGTGTAACAACATCTGGACGACTGCAAATGATTTCTCTCTGGCAAAATGCTTATTTGTGATGCACTCACAAGTGACACATTTACTTTTAATCATAATAATAATGTTTTGGAAAGCTTCTTGCGGTATCTTGTTTACAGCCTGTGTGTTATCAAGCATTAAATTTTTTGTAGATTCTTACTGAATCCATGTACATGTCCTGTTCACATCACTTGTGCCTGGGATCCCATTTCAGAACTTTATCCAGCAGGGCAATCATGAGGCTGGAGCTCAGCCCCAGGTACAAACAGATGGTCTGCAGACGTCACAGTCTCCCCCTTCTCCTGAGACTCCCTCTGAAGAAAACAAAATCCCAGATGCCAGAAAAGTGAGTGACCCTTTAATGCCTTCCGCTGAAGGAAAAGTAGAAATTCAATTAACTCGGTATAAAAGTAATCTCCCTTCAAAACACTAGAAGCAACCTGGTGCTCCTGGCAACGTGTGTTGGCAGGATCAAGGTCGCTTGAGATTGTGCGAGAACTTTAAAAACAGATTTTCTGAGAAACGCCTGCCAATCTGGCATGTGTCAATGTTCTTTCTCTGCTGTCCGCCCCAGGGAAACGAAAAGAAGAACGACCAGCCTCCCGAAGCGAAAAAGCCCAAGATGAAAGTGAAGAATGTCGAGCTGCCTATTGAGGCGAACTTGGTCTGGCAGCTCGGAAGAGACCTGCTCAACATGTACATTGAAACGGAGGTGTGTGAAATGAGGGTCAGGCATTGTATATACAGATAGCAGTCACAACCTCTGAATGGTAGACCTTAAGTTGCTAAGATGGTACCACCCACGCACAGAGTGGGGAGGAGGTATTGGCATGCTCAAAGAAACCTAAGAGGGCAAAATCCGTAAACAACCCTATGAGGGCTATGCATGCTCAGTGGGTACCATAGCCGGGGTGGTGGTGGTGGAATGGGCACTGGCCAGAAGCACTCCACACATCCTTTTTTGTTGTTGCAGGTCCCACTTGTCTTAATCTCAGGCCCCATCTGCATTATACGTCTAAGGCTCGGTCATACAACTTTGGGCTTCCCCAAAAAAATCTTGGGAACTGTCGTTTGTTAAGGATTCTGAGAGCTGCTGGGAAAGTCCTGTTCCCCCTCACAGAGCTCCAAATTCTCAGAGTGGCTTTAGCGATTAGTCCCTCTTCCCAGGAAACTGAGAATTTTAGCTCTGTGAGGGGGAATAGGAGTCTCCCAACAACTCTCTTAACAAACTCAGTTCCCAAGATTCTTTGGAAAATTCTTATATCAATTTCTATAAGAATGTATGGGAGTATATTACATTTTTTTTGTTTGTGTAAGTACATCTTTGTTCTCTTCTCCCACCCCCCACTTTCTCACCTTTTTCTCTCTTTCACTATTTCTTTATAATAGAAATTCTTGCAATAAAAGATTAATATTATATTGGTGGCTATTTAAAAAATGTGAATAAATTAAAAGCTTTACAGTACTGCATTTGTTTCACTAATATTTACAGTATTGTAAACAAAGTCTTGGAAGGGCCTTTGTGTTTCATTTTGCCAAGTATAGTTACCTGGTCTTCAGAATCTGATGATTTAATGTAATTGTTTTTGTTAATCAAATAGGGCAAGATGATTATGCAAGACAAACTGGAGAAGGAAAGGAATGATGCAAAGAATGCAGTTGAAGAATATGTTTATGATTTCAGAGACAAGCTATCCGGACCATATGAGAAATTTGTGTGTGAGCAGGTACTTACTTTATTTATTCAGCATATTTCTGTACCACCCTTAATCAAGAATGCCTCTAAGATAGATAGCAAAATGTAAGTTAAGTACTGTAGATATTCATCAAACAGTGGCTTCATATATTTAGCGTATCGTAACGCCTATCCCAACTAGTTTCCAAAATATTATAAATTCCACAAACGGGGTGGATTTCAGCAGCTCTTGGTACATTTGACTGTAAAAGTAACAAGTAGATTAATTGGTACCAGTATCAACACATGTGTAAAATTATTTCTAGGAAGCTTTTTGATAGTCGCTTTGTCAGAGTTTCCCTCAAATTCAAGGTGGTTGATTTTTAAATCTTGGCAATCAAAATCTCCTTTCTTTATGTTGGCTGCCTCGACAGCAAGGTGAGGAAACTCTTAAAATCCAAGGGCTGCCTTCTGTCCTGGGGGGCGGTATATGCCCAATGGTATATGCCCAATTCCTGCTTGGCAGGGGGTTGGACTCGATGGCCCTTGTGGTCTCTTCCAACTCTATGATTCTATGATTCTATTCTATGGTTGGAGGAGGCAACAGATGACATGTCACATGACAGTCAGCGTTTTTCCAGCCCCCCACCCCCATGTTTCTCCATCCCGGCAAGCAAAGGGCATTCTTGTAATTCATTGATCACAGGCACTCAAGAGAGTGTGGCATGGGGGGGCGTTGCTTGGGGAGAGTTGTGTGGGTCAGAGAGAGGGGCCTGCTGGGTTGCATTCAGCCCCTGGGTCTGCTCTGGAGCATCAAGAGTTTAAGGGGGTGCAGATGGGGCTTAAAGGCCCAGTAGGGAAAGGAGATCAGCAATTGGAGGCCCAACCCAGTCTTTAAGAAATGGTCCCTAGCAGGACTCTGGTTATGAATGTAGAAGCTAGTGAGGTAGGGACAAGGAGTGTTAATCTACTTGTGAGGTTGAAGGGGCTCGGCCTGCCACTCTCCATTCCGTTTAGAGCCATGGTTCCCAACATGGGGCACACGCCCCCACAGGGGGGCAATTTGATTTTTAAGGGGGGCAATTTGGAAGCTTGTTTATACCAAGTTAATGGCCTTTAAGGCTTCTTCCACGTGACTAGGAGTTCACTTTTTGAATAATCTGAATTATATGTCACCGGGGGGAGGGGGGCACCAGGATTTTAGAGATGCTTAGGTGGGGCATACCAAGAAAAGGTTGGGAAACACTAGAGAGCCAGTGTGGTGTAGTGGTTAAGAGCGGTGGACTCGTAATCTGGTGAACCGGGTTCGCGTCTCCGCTCCTCCACATGCAGCTGCTGGGTGACCTTGGGCCAGTCACACTTCTCTGAAGTCTCTCAGCCCCACTCACCTCACAGAGTGTTTGTTGTGGGGGAGGAAGGGAAAAGAGAATGTTAGCCACTTTGAGACTCTTTCGGGTAGTGATAAAGTGGGAGATCAAATCCAAACTCTTCTATTGAAGCTCAGAGGATCTTTTTGCCTTGAGAAGTCATTCATTGCAGGAGGGGGTTGTATTGTGTCAAGGCTTTCCCCAGATACACGGCGTGTGAGCTGGCTTCCACATTTACTGGAAAACCTCTTAAGTTTTCCCAGAACACTTAGGACTCCTTCTTTCTCTCCTCAACAACAATCCGTCAAGATTGTGTGGCTTTATTTTGCACCAGTTAACATTTTGACTTGTTTTGTAAAGTTTTCCCGGTAGCAGGGGGGTGGGTTGGCACAATCTCGAAAACGTATTCTTGGGACTTTTGCTTAGGATCGCCACCGCTTCTCCGCGCTGCTGTCAGAGGTAGAGGACTGGCTATACGAGGAAGGAGAGGACCAGCCTAAACAGGTCTATATGGACAAACTGGCTGAGTTAAAGGTATGGTTACTTTCATGATGTGGGTGGTGTGAAAGGAAGAGTTGTTGTGGGTTGATTAAATTCCTTTCGGGTCAGAACAATCCTTGCAACTGCGTAAGGCTCAATACAGTCTCCCATGTATTCTTCTGCTGTAGATTTTATCAGTGGGTTACAGCAAGTATTTTTTTCAGACCCAGGCCCCACTTTTAACCCAAACATGCATTTGGGGAACTATTTTTTAATCTTTTACCAAATAGTTGCATGGTGGTTCCAGCCCACCAGTTTGAAAACCCAGTTTATTAGAGAAAGTATAATTTATCCCATTATGAGGTGGTGTTCTGGTCGACCCTTAAGAAACCATATGAATATCTTCCTGGGTTCAGGGGCTGTCTAATAATTCTGTTACTGGGATAGGTGGTGGCAATATATCTGAACATTGGAACATTCATTCACTCATTTTATTTGTAAATTTGCTTTTACGCACACACAAAATCCTGCTCAAAGCAGTTTACAACAAAGAAGCAGGGGTGCATTTCAACCAAACACTACAAAAACAGAATTTCATAATAACATAGCCAATCAAAAAATATAATAACCAAAAAACCACATTTCAATAGTCTGCATCTCTCAGACCTGCTTTGATTAATTCATTACTATTCGCCTTTACAGCTGGTCCTCCTGCAGCTGTGATTTCTGTATTACTTTATATTTTGCCATTTATTTAATGGTTAGTCAACCGTAATAAACATTTGATTTATTAGATTTGGGGGGAGTTAGAAGAGACTTTAGGGGGCAGGAAGATCCAGTGCAAGGGGCCAAAGACCTTTTCGTAGGCATTTTAGGTGGTAGATAAGCCATCTAAATGTTTCCTTGAATGTATGGTGAATCATTCTGGTCTCTCTAGAAATTTGGGACTCCCATTGAAGCAAGGTATCAAGAAGCAGAGGAACGACCAAGGTTGCTGGATGAGTTGCAGCATAAAGCACAAAACTATGCCAGGATTACTGACGAATACAGGAAGAAGGTGTGTGTGATATCACTGAGAGCGAATTTGATGTGTTGTTGCTACTTGTTCAGTTGATTTATATCCCACTTTTTGACTAGTCTTCAAAGCAGCTAATAACTTAGAATTATAAATATGTTTGTAAAAAATGTACACCCACAAAGCTGGATGCAAGAATTAAAAGCTGCAATGCGCAACAATTAAGACATAGATTAAAGCATTTAAAAAATAAGATATTAGAGCAGCATTTATGGTCCAAAAGGTCTCCTAAAATAAAACCATTTTAGCCTATCTGAAACTTAGTGAGAATGGTGGCTGCCTGATATCTAATAAGAGAAAGTTGGGCCCACAACTGATGGGAGTTGTAGTCCAAAACATTTGGGGAAACCTCTGAGATACTTTTCTTATATGGTGATTTTCATTCAGCCACTAGCCCAGCAAAAACTGCAAAGTTGAAGACAACAAACCAGTCTTCCACATTAATAATATATTTGATTTTATTTGGTAATGGCCAAAAATTCAGTATGGTTTTAAGGCCAGATAAGCATTTTTATTTAATTTCCATGTCCCATCAAAATTTTCCAGCTTCATGAAGACATCACATTTTGTCATAAAGCAAATTCCCCATATCTTCCTTCCAAAACTGTCATTATCACAAACTAATCTTAATGCAATATGAATTCCTTTTTATTTCGGAAATAATTAATCTTAAAAGCTTCCCCCCAGCAGAATTATTACACACACACACACACCTGGTCAACCAAAAATTAGAAACAAACAAGGGAAAATGTTTGAATCAAATATTGGCTGCCTGATGTAACTTGTATGTCAGCGTCATAAATCCTGTTTCTAGTTGAGAGTTTGGCAATCTTTTGGCAGAGCTGGCCCAGAGTAACCTCAGAAAACTCACTGACTGATCATATACCCATTATCCCTTGCATGATTTTTAGCGAAGTGCAGAGTTCAGGCATGAATCTTTCTGTACTTTTATATATAGCCAATAACTGATAATTTATATTTCACCATAAATGGTTATATAGCCCAATCTTGTTTCTTACATAGGAGGGTGTAAAATGTAAGGAAGACCATTGGCCATGTATTTGCCAGATCTTAGAGTAGTTTTCACACAATGTGGGCCAGACACACAACTCCCCTCTTTACATGAGTCCCAAAATGGGAGAAGAGGAAGCGCTCATTATTCACACTTTCCTGTTTATCCCGTTTGAGGGGATTATGCAAAGCAGCACTTAGTTCAGGGATTGGCAACCTTTAGCCGAAACAATAGCTGACAGCCACATCAGACGTTCAGCTTACGAAAAGCGTTTGAAAACCAGAACACTTACTTCCGCGTTCTTGGTTGCCAGGAACCAAGGTTCATAACTGACATCCTAGGTTAAGCATCAGATATAGGATATTACTTGTTCATCAGCTTGAGGATGCCAGGGAAAACATAATCTCCAATGTACTGCGTTATTCTGTGTTTCAGAATGAGAAGTACCTCCATATTGACGAAACTGAGATCAACAAAGTAGAAAAATGTGTCCGTGACACAATGGAATGGCTACACAACATTCGGAACGCCCAAGCAAAGCAAAGTCTAGATCAGGATCCTGTCGTGCGTGTGAATGAGATCAAAGGAAAGCTGAGGGTAAGTGTTAATCATGGCACAGCAACACTTTCTGATGGTTCATCTCCCAGGATAGACGAGCCTAGGTGAAGTTCATTTTGAAGACAAAGCGGGGAGAGCAGGATGAACTAATGCAGGCATAGATGTTGAGATATTGCAGGGCTGGGGCCTTCCAGACGTCGCTGGATTACAACTTCCATCATCCCTGGCTATGGTTTTTTTTATAAATAATTTTTATTAATTTTCCAACATACATTTATAATATCCAATCTAAATTTATCACATATTTTCTCTTTTGGACTTCCTTCAGCCTCTCTAACAATCCATTTTTTTAATTACACATTTCCTAATTTTTAATATTGCATTTTATATACCTTCACCCTCTTATTTTTCTTCAACACAATATTCCTCAAATATTCACAGAGCTTCTTGAAATCCCACTAGCGTTGTTTGCTCATCACATATACATTTCAAATAATCTGAGAATTTTCCCCAATCTTCGATGAACTTCTGGTCACATAGATATCTGATCTTCACCGTTAGTTTATCTAATTCTGCATAGTCCATCAGTTTCATTCTCCATTCTTCTAACGTCGGTAGTTGTTCCTGTTTCCATTTTTGGGCCAGTAGTATTCTCGCTGCAGTTACTGCGTATTGGAAAAGTTTACAGTCCTTTCTATTTATCTCATTTCCTACTATTCCTAATAGAAAGGCCTCTGGTTTCTTAACAAATGTATATTTCAGCATCTTTTTCAACTCATTATATATCAATTCCCAGAAACCCTTCACCTTCTTACAACATCCCTGGCTATGTTGGCTGGCGGCTGATGGAAGATCCAACAGAATCACGAGGGCCATAGGTTCCCCATTGCTGATACATGGCATAGGATTAAAGATGCATCCTTTCCTCTCTGCACTTATTGGCTGCCACTTCTGGGAGTGGGAAGGTTTTGAGAATGGTGACATCTTTGATGCACTTTGTATTACTAGATGTTATGGGAAGCAGGAGAGGAGATGCAGGGCTGTATTTTTCTGCCATCAGCCAGGTTATCGCAGTAAATTAGTTTCTGGCCTAAACAGAGTGGTTGTTTTTCAAGCGTGTCAGGGTGACTGAGCTAAAATAAGGCAGTAGTTTATACATATTGGTCAACTGCATCAATATAATTTTTGGGATTTTTTGTTTTAGGAGCTGCACAGCTTGTGTGAGCCCATTGTAACCCAACCCAAGCCAAAGGTAGACTCTCCCAAACAGGAAGCGCCACCAGAACCATCGCCTAATCATAAAAACGAAGAGCTGGAAGAGATTAAGAACATTGAGACAGTGCAGCAAAATGGCGACTGTCACATAAACGAGAGCCCAGTTAACATGGACCTCGACTAGACCCAATGCATTTCAATGAGCAGCCTTCATCATGAGAAAAGACTTCAGATGTATTATGTGAATGGGGGGAATGTAATGTTTGAGGGGAGGTATTTATAATTTGTTTTAAAGAGTTTTGAGTTCTGTTATATTATTTGGGGAACGAATATATTGAAACGGTAGAAGTTGAGATCATGATAATCCTAAAAGGAAAATTGCCTTGGTAACTTTCAGATTCCTGTGGAATTGTGAACACTTAACAAAATCTTCTGTGCGGGAATTTAACCTTTTGTAATCAGTTAAAGCTACTTAATATCAAGGGAATGTTACAAAAGGTATTGCTCCTTTTGAAAGGGTTGCAGCTAGCTTTTGTAGACACCAAGGTAGTTTTTCCTTTCTTCTCCATTTTTGATACGTTTCTTCCACTGGCAAAAGACATTCAGTCAAAGGCATACACGAAAACCAAAACTTAAAAGAAAATGTTCTTTGTACCCATTGTCCATAATATTTGCTAGACTAAAAAATTAGAAGGAATATGTGAAGCAGCATGCAGAATTGCTTAAGTTCAGTCTCTTGCTCAACAAGTCGCTTTCATGTGTGAAAAAACTGAATGAAGGTTAAACTGATCCTGTTGTAAGTTCTTGTGGTGCCTTTAGTGAGCTTTAATAAAGTTCATTGAAATGGTCTAGTTCTTTACAGTGTTGGTTTTGTGTTACCTGTTAGTAGCACATAAATACTTTCTGAATAAAAAAATTAAATACTTACGGCTCAGTGGACTGGATGTAGCCTCCAGTTCAAGTATGAAACCACAAGGGTGTAAATTAGCCATGTCTAACTTAAATCTCACTGATTTTCCATGCATCTACCCAAATTATGACTTGAACCTAGACCCAACGCCAACAGTTTTCAGTGGAAGAATTAAGCCTTTAAGTCTCTCTCACAGTAAAAAGAAAAGTGAAACATACCTGCTAAACTCTAGTTTGCGTCATACTGGCTATCAATGTTTTTGTCGTCCGTTTGAGCAGAGATATGTATCAGTGAAATGAGACAACAGAACAGCAACACTGTTAGCTTTAAAGAGGAGGATTTTGGTCAGGAAAATTCTTTGCAAGTTTAGCTTATTAAGCACCATTTCAGCTGAAGGGTGGGGAATAGTCCAACAGAAGAAATTACACCAGGACTTTTAAGCAGGCCTTGGTTCCAGTGACTTGGCAAATGACGGGCTCAGTTTCTTGCTACTCGGCTGCTCCTTTGTAATTAGCACTGAAAATGTCTGTACCAAGAACAGACAAATCAGGCTTCCGGCAGTTTCCTGGGAAACTGTCAATTTCATAATAGTTGATTGTGCGGTAAGTGTTAGGTCCCCCGTGGCTAACCCGTCTGTTTAAAAGCTTGGATCGCTCATGCTTCAACCTAGGGGGTGGGGAAAGGAAGTTGCAGGTGGGAAGAGAAAACTCTCTGGAAATGCTGTCAATTTACTTGCCAGCCTGGGCTTCCCGCTTACCTCCTGCTTGAAGTGTTTGCATAAAGACGCTTGCTAATTTCATCTTGAATGTCCTCGCTGGTAACTGGAGCCGGGGAGAGCCGGGGATTAGAGATTGCTTCCTGCCGAAAGCAGAAGAACAGCCACTGCATTATTCATACACCTTAACTGCTGTTAGAATAGCAATAGCAGCCGGTGCTGCTGCTGCTCTTGAATCTTCCTCCATGGAAGTTTTGGGAGCTGCTATGTTGGACAATCCTTACTGAAGCAGATGGCATAAGGCTGGTACCCAATCAGATGGCAGCCATTTCCATTCTGTACTTTGCACACTGTTAAATCATTCTCCAAGGTTTCATTGCCAAAATCTGCCTTTTAAGTTGCTATTTCAGCATGGTACACATTTAACAGGTTTTTCCTCCCTCCTGGATTTACATATTAATTTTAATAGGCCAGAGAGGTGCATTTAGCATCGACTGAATGGCAAGGTGTGGTCATGGCTGCTTTAGAATTTCTTTGTGCTTATCTTACTGTACCTTATATGCTCCCAGAATTCTTTGCTTTCTCACTCTCTCTGCCATCAGAAAGGGAAATCTGCAAAATCATCTGGGCCTAGAGAACCATCCCAAGGACCATAGGATTGCTCCCTTCAAAGGAAAAAGCAGGACCTTAACAGAAACATTGCCCCAGCAACAATTGCTGGAGTTGCAGGAAAATAAAACGATTCAATTTGCTCATTTTGCATTGACTAGCAGTGCTTTCATAACACAGACAAAGGCATACATGAGAAACTGGTGGGGGCAGGATGTAGCTCATGGCCTCCCCCTATTAACTGCACCACTGCAGTTGACATACGAACCTTAGGTGTGACAGCATCCTGAGTTCTCTTCTCTTGCTCTGGAAGCTGCAGATCGGAGGGCTTGCCTTCTAGCACGGGGTGAATGGGCATACTTTGAGGATCGATGAGGATTTCATAAGGAACCATGGGATGTTTCCAGGAGGATGGGGTAAAAATTTCCCAAGGTTCTGCTTGGCCAAAGGTTCCTGTGGGGAGAGAAAGGAAAGGAACCCCTAAACAAGTGTAACTGAAGAAACAGCATGCGGTGGAAGTAGCTCCTTCAGTAACTTGAGGCTGCAGAGAGCATTTCTAAAAAGAAATATTACTTATGAACCCAGGGCCATTGTATTTCTTAAACAGGATGTTGGTCAAATAGCAGTAGCTTCCATTTCTCTCTTACTGCAAGCTCTTTGGTCTTCTCCAGTGATGCACACCCAGAGATGGAGTCCTAGGGCAAGCTGTTGCAAAACAACTCATGATAACATAGGGATGAGGAATGCACCTACAGGAGTCATGGGCAGGTTGGATGCTTACCCCTTTGCACACAGCAGTTGTGTGTGTGAGTAACTGCTGCTTCAGAGCGGCTTAACCAACAACCTGCTGCAATACCTTAGAATGTGGACATTTGAGAAGCAAAATCCACCACCCCGCGTTTCAAGTTGCACAATGTTGTAGGCACCAGAGAGAGGACAGAAATGTCTTCACCCACATTCCTGGAAGCTGCATCCCTTCCAACTCTTAATTCATGAAGCTGTCACCTGTGCGTGTCCTGTCATTTGCGCATGTGCCATTACTGTCTCAAATGTACACACCTCAGCTTAATTGCAGTAGGCACATGGCTTAAGTTTTCAAGTCCGACAGAAGTTCAAGGAGAAAACATATCAAAAAGCAGTATTTCTCAATAAACTGCAGGGCAGATGCAGCTACATTTGCATGTGCACAGCTTCAAACACCGGGAGGTGGGTGCTCACTGGAGCCCTAGTAAATGTTAATGTGTCAACCGTCTATGTTAGGGTGCATTCCTACACAAAGCTGTCAGTTCCTCTTAAATGAGTAATATGGTCCTTGTGTTTTGTGCATGTGCCATTTACCAATGTATTCTCCATCCAGGCTCCACAAGCGAACAGTACGATCAGTTGAACAGGATAGCAGGATGTTCTCTTCATCTATAACTTCTAACCTATTTGTCAAGCCAGAGAGGACAACCAGTTAGAAATCCATGTGCACAACTTATTTTTTGTTAAAGGTTAAGCCAATACTTACGATGGAACCAGATTCAAATGAGCTCTCCAGTGGTTCACATCTGTGGCAACAGAAAGGAATAGAACACAGGACTCAGCTACATTAGCAAAGAAAAAGAGCTTTATGTGTGTTATAACACTGTGCCACTAGATGGAGCTGTGGAGTCCTGCCCTTCGGCCACGTGTTTTCCCTTTATGAAGTTCACAACACGTTTTTCTGAAACGCTTTTTTGATGTGTCTAGATCCAGCCTAAGTTCATGGATAAAACATACATTACAGCATGTACTAACATACAAAAACAGTGAGGTGTGTCTGAAGTCACATGAAGGGCAATCCTATACATGTCTACTCAGAAGTAAACACCATTGATTTCAATTGGATTTACTCCCAGGTAAATGATATTGCAGGGACGCGGGTGGCGCTGTGGGTTAAACCACAGAGCCTAGGACTTGCCGATCAGAAGGTCGGCAGTTTGAATCCCTGCGACGGAGTGAGCTCCTGTTGTTCGGTCCCTGCTTCTGCCAACCTAGCAGTACGAAAGCATGTCAAGTAGATAAACAGGGACCGCTCCGGCGGGAAGGTAAACAGCATTTCCATGCGCTGCTCTGGTTCGCCAGAAGCGGCTTAGTCATGCTGGCCACATGACCCGAAAGCTGTACGCTGACTACCTCGGCCAATAAAGCAAGATGAGTGCCGCAACCTCAGAGTCGGTCATGACTGGACCTAATGGTCAGGGGTCCCTTTACCTTAAATGATATTGCAACTCACTGAGTCCAACTGGACTTGCTTTTAAGTACACATGTGCATTTGTGCTGTCAATCTATAACCCAAAAGCAGAGATGCTAAACGTTTCTACTGGAAGTAAAATGTACATGTAGACATACACTTTGGTGCTTCTTGTTCTGGATCCTGAAGAGCATAATCTTTGATGTCATGGACATACACGTATCCATCCTCATCGGCAGCATACAAATATGAATCATCAGCAGTCACGGCAATGCCGGTAATCAAGGATTTCCCTCTTGACTGGAACACACATTGATGCAAACCACGTTTTTAGTTAACACAGTTACATAACTTCTCTATTCTAATGGGAGGGGAGCTTCAATCTCCATGCCAGAACAATCTAGGTGTCCTGAAGTTGTCATCATCTAGCACAGCTTTCCCCAACCGTGCACCCTCCAGATGTTTTGGACTACAACTCCCATCAACCACAGTCACCACAATTGTGGCACCCAAGGGCAGCCCCACATAAAGTGCATTGCAGCAAGCCAGCCTTGAGTTACACCTAGCCCGTGGGCTGCCAAATCGCTGCCCCTGATTTACACCACCTGGGAAGCTGGTGTTAATTGCTATTTGTACATGGGGTCATATGTGATTAACTAACATGGTTGTGGCTTTGGGCTACATGTATCACACAAGCATTTCAGCTCACAATGCATTCAAACAGAGGCTGTTAAGCCTTTGCTGCAATTAAACACAGAACCCCAGCAAACATTTTGGCAACTTCCCATCTGCGAAACTTACAGGTGCAAAACTTGCTATAAGTGGATCCCCAGTGCGCAGGCTCCAGAAATACAGATGGCCTGAAAAAATGGTAACAAGAAGGGACAAGCCAGTATCAAAGCAGAAGAATACTTTTGTGGCAACAAAGCATTCGGGAGAGCAGAAATGTCTGAAGGCCGGTTCACAAAACTACAATGCCACACCGAACGTGTGGCTTGAAGTGGCTCTTAACATTTGAGTAATCATCATGTAGCCAGCGGGATTTGTAATGATGATTACAAACAGTCCTACATAACATCTCTCCAAATCAGAGACCACTGGATTATGTATGGGACACAGGGAGAATCTCTGGTGACTTTTTTGAGACCAACAATTTACACTAACAGGAAATAACAATGAAAGAAATCCAGTCTGTCAGTCTTGGTTGCATTAGGACTAAACCAGAAGAATGTAGTAATTGAAATCGATGCCAGAAATTCAGCACCCCAGGATAGTACAACAGTGATGACAAAATCCAGTTGGTAGATCACACTTCTATACAATGTTTAAAAGGCGCAGGATGTCAAGGCCCAGACCTTATGCCCTCCTTGGCCCCTGCTCCACTGTCCCTAAGCCTCAGGCCTCTTATCTCTTCCAGGTACCCTTCCTTCAGGATCCTAGCACCATGCGCAGCTTTGTTACCTTAGAAATCAGCATGGCAATTACTTCCTGCTCTGCAAAGGCGTGTGCAAGGGCTTCTGCAGTGTTGTTGACAGGCAAATCTTTGGCCTGCGGATGTCGCTGAACCAAAGCTCCCATAGTCTCTGGCCATGGGCCATGCCTGCTGGGGCTGACAGGAATTGCAGTTCAGCCACATCTGGAGGGCCAAAGGACCCCCACTCTTGTTCTAGATGCTTCCACTTGTACAAGAGGCTGCACCAGCCCTTTCCCCATAGGGGAGTTGCTCCAACCCCTTGATGATTTTGACTGACTGTGTTAGTTTGGTTGCCTAGAGTTTTGGTAGGCCACACCACCAACCAACATTTCATCCATCTTACCTTGCGGCCCATTGGAAACAAGCGAGGCTGCAGCCGATTCAAATTTCACCGCCCGGGTCTTTAGAAAGATTACGCGGCTAACACTTGCATCGACAGCTGGGGAGGACAAAAAGAGAAGACTTGCTCCTTCAAAGGAAACACCATTAAATATTCAAATACTTTCATTAAGCTACAGTCAAAAGGCACAATTTGCATGCAAGCATTGCTGCCATTAACTTTCCTGATGTTTACATTTACATTTCCACTCTCATGGATTTCAGATGCTTCATTCCAAACCCCCTCTTACCATTGAGTAGATAAAAGGTGTTTTGCTAGGTTGAACTCTGAAATGTATATAGTGGTACCTCGGGTTAAGTACTTAATTCGTTCTGGAGGTCTGTTCTTAACCTGAAACTGTTCTTAACCTGAAGCACCACTTTAGCTAATGGGGCCTCCTGCTGCCGCTGCACGGCCGGAGCACAATTTCTGTTCTCATCCTGAAGCAAAGTTCTTAACCTGAACCACTATTTCTGGGTTAGCAGAGTCTGTAACCTGAAGCGTATGTAACGTGAAGCGTATGTAACCCAAGGTACCACTGTAAATACGTGGCTGTTTTGTCAGGCTTTCAGTCTGCCAACTGACTAAAAACTAAATGTAATCTTTAAAAAAATGCAAGTTGCATTTCATTCACACAACTGGAGTTGCCCTTTCTCTCCTTGCGTGCCCCCAAAATCTGCTCCAGGGGGGTCACCGAAATGTAGCAATGTTTATTTCCTTATGGCTTTCAACCTGACCCTATCAATGCATGCAGAGTTACCACAGACCAAACAGTTGTTTGTACTATAGCAACTCAAATAACATCTGCATAACAAATGGGACAGGGATGGTTGTTTAAAAGTCCTTATTTCAAGATAATAAGAGCTGTATACCAAGACATCTGCTCACAATCACAATACTATTTGCAAGGGAGGGGGGCTGTGAGGGACTAGTACTATATTAGAGACTTCAGACCTTAACTGAAGATGCAGGGTCACTTCCTGCCCACCCATCCGCAAATTGGGAGGTGACGAATTACAAGTGGAAAGTTGTAAAAAACAGCAACTGTCATTATATTGAGCTGGCTACATCACATCCTTGTGGGGTAGAAACTGGTGTCTCTCTCAACCATACCAGGCCTGTTAGCCAATAAAACAACTTGGGATGGGCTTCACCTTTCAACTTTCATGTTTTCCATGTCTATTCAGTTCCACAATGATTCATACAGATTGATTGATTCATCCAGACATAGTAGTCCTGGGTGAATCTGTTTTCTGCAGTATTTTTTTAGATGAGTGAACTTACATTTGGTACTAACAGAGGCAGCGGCAACTGAAGTGTGGAATTTATGACATATGTGACCCGACATCATATTCCAAACAATAATTTCACCATCATAACTTGAGGTTGCAAGGAGAGTAGGTGGGCACTGAGCAATGCACAAAATATCCTCTTTGTGTCCCCGGTTCTGGGAGAGAGGGAGTGAAAAAAACAGTGCTGGTTCTCCTTTGTGTTTGTCGCTTCGGAGCTGTACTTCATGTATCAATCAATGGGCAGTTCAAGCCCTGCAAACTGGCACCACATAAGACTGAACTGTGGTCAACCACAAAGCCTCAAATGTCAATATTGCTGCTACATGTCCATCCCCCCCAATCGAGAACAAGTCTTCATAAAAGATAAGGTAGAAACTTCTGGCAGACCAACTTTTACCCCTTAGAATGCACAGGACTTCTGGGTTATATTGAGCTCATAATATGCCCATGGAATTTGCTGAAGCTCAGCAGCTCATGCACGTTCACAGAAAATAGTAAGCTACAGAATATCCCCCTTATTGGGTCCTCCTTCACAGAAAAACAAACAGTAGTCATTTGGTCTCTACTGGGGATGTGAGAGAAATCATTTTGCACTTCCTGAACAGATGTGCAAACTAAAATACAGGCATACTTCCTAGTTTGCAAGTCTCCTGATTTTGCAATGCAAATGGGAAAGTGCTCATAAAAATGATTATATTAGTGAAAGTAAAGTTTTAAATGCTTTATGTTACAGGAAATTGTTTGCAAAAATGTGTGTATATTATAGAGAAAATTCCATATAGAAAAGCATATATTAAATGAAATGCATTCAAAATACACTTGAATTTTCATGCATACTTTTTTTAAAAAAATTGCAAACTGATATGGAAATGGAGAGAAGTGAACTTAAAGGCTGGAAAAAAGAGAACCAGGCAGAAACTAAAATTGTCCGGTTCATCCAATGCTAGTCTTAGAGTGGATCTACAGACAGGGGGAAAAACACTATAAAAAGTTATAAATCATAGAAAAAAGGGGGGGAAACGCTATCTAAAATTGCATAGACAAATTTTGTGCTCTACAGCGCCATCTGGTGTTGCATGTTTATAATGCATTCAAAACACTGTTTTTTACTAATGTACTTGAGTCCTACAGTTTTATAATCCAGCATAACTAGTTCCATGCATACTATTCAAAGGCATCAATAAATTAATATAATAATAATAATAATAATAATAATAATAATAATAACAATAATTTATTACTTATACCCTGCCCATCTGGCCGGGCCTCCCGGTAAGGCCATTCTGGACTTACTAAGGCAGAGGTTAAGTTCCAGTGAGCTGAAAAGAACTCTACCTGCTTCAGACTGCACTGCATACCACCTATATGAAATTCTACATATCAAACACCATACATGTGCTCAGCATCAATAAAGAGTTTTCGAAGTATACAAAAAAGGCATTTAGATTTGAAGAAGGCCAAGGTGGAATCTTACTATATCATCCTGCCAGTGGGCTTGAGGTTTCTGAAAGTGATGAAAGTTTTCTGTGGAATCCTGCAACATACATACATCCAAACGAAAAGATACATATGTGTGAACATAAGGATATATATGTGTTTTATAAGTTTATGACAAAGATTCTGTTTCTGCTTGTTCCTCCCCTTTTTGACTCTGACACCAATGTTGTTAGCCAGATGTGCAAAAAGAGAGTTTGGCCTTAATTCTACCATCCCATTGGCCAGGCTCAATATCTTCCCCACCTATTTTCTACCCCAGTGCTTTGGCACAATGTGAAATTTCAATAATGAATCATGATACCGTATCAAAATGCTTTTCATGTGCACTTTTGCTACTTACATAAAACAAGTTTATCCTTCGATCCCATCCAACACCTACGATGTACCTGGAAGAAGAGTTAGCAAACAAATGTTACACGTATATTTAGGGCTGCCATACGTCCAGGCGGTTTTTTGCTGAATGTTCGGGAAAACCCGGATTTCTTTTTAAAAACTTTTTTAAAAGCATCCCCCCCCCCCCCAGCTCAACTTTGTCCTGATTTTCACTTTTGGGAATATGACAACCCTACATATATAATTGGATCATAATCTAGAAATATCACAACCCAGTTTGGTTAGGGTCTGTTTCAAGGCACAGGAACAGAGGACACTCCCTCAAACTAAGTCAGATCATTTGTCCATGCAGCTTAGTATTGTCTGCACTGACTGGCAGCAGCTTCCCAGGTTTTTTAGGCTGGGGTCTCTCCCAGCCTTACCTGGAGATGTTTGGGGTTGAACCTGGGACTTTCCGCATGCATTATATCCCCCCCCCCATTATATTTCCCATGAAAAAGTCTGCTTCATAAATATTTTAACAAATAACTAAAAACTCAAATCAGAGGTTCTGCCACTAAGCTATGGCCTTTCGCCAAATTGGCAACATGAGATTCTAGAAGATGGATGTCCCTTTAGCCTCTGCTTGTCCAGTGTTAATGGAAACTTTTCCATTTGTCCAGCCTGAGGATGTGGACAGAATCTTTGAAAAGGTGAGAGCTACCAAACGTGTTGAAATATACTCGGAGTCAAGAGTGGATTACATGCTCTTTATTCAGCTCATAGTGGTGAGGAGGAATGGAAGTTACCCCAGAATGTCTGCTTTATATACATTATTTACACAATGGGCCCCACGTGATTGGCTACTTCCGGGATTCACCTGTAGGCCAATCAGGTTGAGGATTCACTTCCACCCGGAGCTGGATTGGGTGGCTCCTGTGGACCAATCAGACTGCTGCATTCTGGACCCTATTGTTCTAGGACCAATCACACTGCTGCATTTTGGATCTTATTCAACTCAGTACATAACACGTGTACTAAATCCTTGCCCTTCCTGGCTCTTAAAAAAGGGGGCAGCGGGGGACTGGCTAAGTGAGTGAGGGGTCAGTGGCTGCTTAGAACAAGGCATGCCTAAAGGAGGCAGTTGCAAGGCCTCTACTGAAAAATCCAGACCTGAATCCTGAATTATGGGATAATTATCGGCCAGTTTCTAATATCTCAGCTCCAGGGGTTTTTTTGGAGGAGACAGATGGATCTAGATCCATTTCAGGCCTGATTATGGGACTGAGATAGCTTTGGTCACCTTGGTGAATGATTTGTGCTGAGAATTGGATAGGGGGAGCGTGATGGTTCTGCTGGACCTTTTGGTATCAGTGACCATGGTATCCTTCTGGGATGGAAATGGAATTGGAAGTACTTTTTTTTTTTACAGTTGCATAGCATATACCCACTAGCAAGGTAAAGGTAAAGATACCCCTGACCGTTAGGTCCAGTCGTGACCGACTCTGGGGTTGCGGTGCTCATCTCGCTTTATTGGCCGAGGGAGCTGGCATACAGCTTCCGGGTCATGTGGCCAGCACGACTAAACCGCTTCTGGCGAACCAGAGCAGCGCACAGAAACACCGTTTACCTTCCCACCGGAGCGGTACCTATTTATCTACTTGCACTTTGACGTGCTTTCAAACTGCTAGGTGGGCAGGAGCTGGGACTGAGCAACGGGAGCTCACCCCGTCGCGGAACCAAGCCGCAAGGAATTCCACACACAAATATTGCAACAACTCTTTACCTGATCTGGTCTTTAGCAAGTAGGGAATGTGTCAGTGTGCATTCTGTCTGACAACTTCTGAGCAGGTCTCTCTAGGTATCCCCTTTATAAATGGCTTTTGATCTGCATGAATTAGCAGGTGACCACATTTGGCTCCATGCCATTCAAAGCATTACCAGCTAATCTCTACATATTAAACACCTGCTAAAGGCACCCAAGGTGTTAGTATTCTTTTTTCTTGGCAGTACTATTGTATGTATTCATACGCGATCAAATGCCTTTGCAATCCAAAGGAAGCCCCATAGCTCAGTGTGACAGCATAGGCTCTGCATTGCAGAAGGCTGCACATTCGACCCCTAGCATTCCTTGCCTAAAAACTAAAAAGCATTTGAGGTAGCAGGAAAGTGGGAAAGGCCAACCCTGAAAGGCAGAGGAACCACCATCAATGGTCTCATTCAGTATAAGGCGAAGAAGTCCTTTGTTATGCACTAAGCTTGGATCCTAGAACAATAAGCAAGTAGGATCCTAGAATGCAACAACTGATTGGCTTGCAAGAAAAGACCAATCAGTCTCCAGGAGGAAGTTAATCAGCCTATTAGGCTGGTAGGATAGTAGAATGCAACAATGGATTGGCTTGCAGGAAAAGACCAATCAGGCTCCAGGAGGGAAGCAGAATCAGCCAATCAGACGGGACTCATTGTGTAAATAATGTATATAAAAGCCAGAGGTTTGGCGGGCAATTCAATCACTGTCTTACAAGCTGCAATAAAGAGCATGAAATTACTACAGGACTCCGAGTATATTTCATCCTTACAGCAAGGATATTTTGTGGAACACTCATGGGGGGGCGGGGCAATTTAGGTGACAAAGATACATGTCATATTCTCAGAATGCCATATGGAGAAGAGAAATGCACCTTAATATAAATAAATTAAGCACCTCTTCCCTAAGATGTCAGCCTTCAATGGCAGTATCTGGTTATGGTTTGCATTGCTTACTTGTTTTTGTTGACTTCCACATAGGTGCAGTCACAGACTTCGTCACTTTTGTCTTCTGCAGGTAAGAAAAACACAGCAGCGTTGCAACATCCAAGTCGTATGAGTTTTCTACAGACGTAACATTTTTTGGGGCCGTTTGCGTCAGCGTGCTGCTTACCTCTTTTCAGCGTGTGCAAGCAATGCCCATTATTGTAATTCCATACATTCAAACAACCATCTCGTCCTCCTGTGATTAGTCTAGAACGTGAATGAAATAAATGCATCATTTATTCCACCTGCGTAGATACTTGTGTGCCAGGGGTGGGGACACACAGCTAAAATTTATATAGAGTGGGGGTCCCCCCCCCCAAAAAAGGCATATTTAGAAACATACCTTCTTCTGCTAGGATCGAAGGCGAGGCAGGTTACCGCAGAACCACCATGAGCATTGCCAAATTCAAATAAGTGCTTTCCGCTATCAAAATCCCACACCTTGACCACCTTAAAAACACACACACACACATACATAGGAAAGCATCTGAATAAACACCATGGTCAGGATTCAATGGCCCACATTTGAAATAAGTAAAAATTAGTCCAGTTCTATGCATAGAGAGCAAACACAAAAAACTCAACTACATGTGTCAAAATGGAACAGCTACACATTGGGAAATACATGGAGTTGGTTCTATTTTACAGTATCGTTTCACTTACAGAACCCTCACAGCAGCTCACAACATGCCTGAACACTTCGTTGAACTTGCAGCACAAAACTGGCTTCTTATGGGAAGTAACCAAGTGAGGATCTGGAGGCAATCTTCCTTATGGAGAATAAAAAACAAAAGAAGTGAGGGTCAAACTATCAATACAGCAGTAAGTACACCTGTATCGGGCTTGTCTGGATGGCAGACTCTCCAGAACTGATTTAGAATTGCAGTATGTGGGAAATGTGGGGAGGTTTTTTTCTTAATTAAGTCTTGCTGCTTAATGTTAAGTGAGAATCAGCCTGGGAAAAATCAGGTTCTGACACCTGTCCCTTATACAGCAAGGGAGGTGTGCATGCACAGCTGATGTGAATATAGTTGAAGTTCAGGGGTGTGTCTGCTGAGCTAAATATCCTCATCTGGGGCTGGCAGGGGTGCTGTTGAGTACTTAAAGGGCTTGTAGCACTAGCCCATTATACAAATTTGCATTAAGATTAGGGGTGGAAGGATCTGTCAATCCTTCTCTCCATTTTTCCAGTCCTAAACTCAGTGCTCCATATTTTGTTGTTTTTTTTTAAAATATTTTTATTGCATTTTTTCCACATATGTGGAAAAGTGCTCCATATTTTGCAGTCCAACAACACCCTGGGATCTCGTCAAGATTATTTTCAAAAAGAAAAATTTAAAAGGTTTGAATTAAACATGGAATTTAACATTTTGTGGCTTTGTAATGTTTTCATGTGGGACGCGGGTGGCGCTGTGGGTAAAACCTCAGTGCCTAGGACTTGCTGATCGTATGGTCAGCGGTTCGAATCCCTGCGGCGGGGTGAGCTCCCGTCGTTCGGTCCCAGCTCCTGCCCACCTAGCAGTTCGAAAGCACTCCTAAGTGCAAGTAGATAAATAGGGACCGCTTTATAGTGGGAAGGTAAACGGCGTTTCCGTGTGCTGCGCTGGTGCTGGCTTGCCAGCTGCAGCTTCGTCACGCTGGCCACGTGACCCGGAAGTGTCTCCGGACAGCGCTGGCTCCTGGCCTCTTAAGCGAGATGAGCACGCAACCCTATAGTCAGACACGAGTGGCCCGTACGGGCAGGGGTACCTTTACCTAATGTTTTCATCTCTGTAAATTAACCCTTGTTGGCAGCAGTTTCTAGTATTCCATTCTCCCTAAATACAGGGGCGTAGGAAGAGGGAAGCGGGGGGTGCGGTCTACCCGAGGGCGTCATCCCTGAGGGGGTGACAAAATGGCACGCCGCAGGGCACGGCACTTGCCGCGGGGCCTGGCCTGCAGTGTGCCCGAGGCACGCGGCTCTCCTGGGAGTGACAGGGTGGCTCAGGGCTCCGCACTGCCCGAAACAGCAGCGTAGGGCTTGTGTCTGCCAGGCGGACGCTGTGGGCAGCTCACCGTGCCACCCCCCTGGGCGGATCGCCGTGGCGCCCCCGTGGGCGGATCGTCCTGCCCCTGCCACTCCAGGTGCCAGAGCAGCTAGCTACACCCCTGCATAAATACAGATCTTAGATGTTTAAGGGCCAGACTATAGTGGTGCCTCGGGTTAAGAACTTAATTCGTTCCAGAGGTCCATTCTGTTCTTAACCTGAAACTGTTCTTAACCTGAAGCACCACTTTAGCTAATGGGGCCTCCTGCTGCCGCCACCACGCGATTTCTGTTCTCATCCTGAAGCAAAGTTCTTAACCCGAGGTACTATTTCTGGGTTAGTGGAGTCTGTAACCTGAAGCGTCTGTAACCTGAGGTAGCACTGTACTATGTGTTGTTCATCATGTGATTAAACAAATGTGAGTAATCATGCTGCTTTTCTTTTAGAGAAAAAGCAAACAGAGTTTTCCCAATTCAGAGAATGACCCCAATTTGGATGGGCCTCAAACTAGTTTCCTGGTGTCAAATTATTTTTTTCCCTGGCTACTCCCTCCCACCCCAAATTCATGGTTTCCTGCTAACATCTCCTGCTCTGGAGGGTGGGACTCAAACCAAAGGCTTCAAGTTGGAAGAAATGAGATTCCGACTAAACATTTGCAAAAACTTTGCGACAGTAAGCGCTGTTTAGCAGTGGAACAGACTCCCTCAGGAGGTGGTGGACTCTCCTTCCTTGGAGGTTTTTAAGCAGAGTTTGGATGGCCATCTGTAATGGATGCTTTAGCTGAGATTCCTGCATTGTGGGGGGCTGGACTAGATGATCCTCAGGGTCCCTTCCAACCCTAAGATTCTATTATTCTATTATTCTAAGTCAAGCATGGGCTGATTTTCAGCAGCAAACTGGCAAGGGACCCCAATCCAGATTAGAAACACTTTCCAGATTGGGGACTCAATGGCAGTTTTTTCTCCAAAATAAACATATCCATGAACACTCATTTAAACACTTAGTTTGGCTTTAAGACCATGAGTTCTGGTCTGTTTGCTTTCTTCTTCTTCTTTTTACCGTAGTCTTAGATGGAGAATAGCCAGTGTATCCGTGGCAACGCAGAGCGATCTTACGCCTGGTATGTAGTGGCAAGCACTAATCTCTCCTTTAATTCCACTGTTTTTTGAGCAGGCTGTGAATAAGCAAGTCTGGTCCTCAACATCCCAAATCTGCAAAAATAATTGAGACACGCTAAAGAGAAAGTACTGAAGACGTGACAAGTGTAACTCAGCGCATGCAAAAAACAGAGACAGACCTTCACTGTGTTGTCTGTTGACATGGAGAATATTTTATCCTCTTCAGATATGTGGACATAGAAGACAGGGGCCATGTGGCCTCTGAGCATGCCTGTTGGCCTTCTGCAATTGGACCAGAACATTAAAGACTGAGCGGCTTCAAACATATAATGAAACAAAAGAGATGGATTAACATTGGCACTACTGTAACTGAAACACATACGAATGAGGGAGAATTGTAGTACCAAGTGAGAAAGATAGATGAGCTAGCGCAGTGTGGCCACATCCACACCATACTTTTTTTTAAAAAAGGAATAAACATTTTTATTAAAGTTTTCTTGGTTTACACAGGTATGCACAATGTCTCTTTTTTCAAGTTATGTTTTCCATAGGTCAGTTTCATTTGTTGAGACATTAGGGTTACATTAGAAGAAGAAAAGAGTTTGGATTTGATATCCCACTTTATCACTACCTGAAGGAGTCTCAAAGCGGCTAACATTCTCCTTTCCCTTCCTCCCCCACAACAAACACTCTGTGAGGTGAGTGAGGCTGAGAGACTTCAAAGAAGTGTGACTGGCCCAAGGTCACCCAGCAGCTGCATGTGGAGGAACGGGGAAGCGAACCCAGTTCTCCAGATTACGAGTCCACCGCTCTTAACCACCACACCACACTGGCTCTCTCTTAGGAATAAAGGGGGGGGGAGGTGGAGAACATCATACATTTTAAGTGTTCTTAAACCACTTCAACAGTCCCACCACCACCAAAAAAATAAAGAATAATGGGAACTGTAGTTTGTGAAGAGTGCTACTACAATTCTCAGGATTCTTTTTCAGGAAGCCCTGACTGTTGAGGTGGTATAAGAGAGCTTTGCATGTATCGTGCGGGCATGACCTGTGATTATTTTGTTCTTGACTCTACCTGCCTCAGATTTTCATGCAATGTTAAGACACCAGTTGGATTCAATCACCATAACGGTCAATAACCCTCTGGCAGACAGGCCTGAATGTTGATACAAAGGTTCTGCCAGCATTAAACATTGAAAGCAGTATCATACCGCTTTAAAAAGTCATGGCTCCTCCTAACTCATCCTGTATAATAATAATAATAATAATAATAATAATAATAATAATAATTTATTATTTGTACCCCGCCCATCTGGATGGGTTTCCCCAGCCACTCTGGGCGGCTTCCATAGAAACCAAAAACACACTAAAATATCACAGATTAAAAACTTCCCTGAACAGGGCTGCCTTAAGATGTCTTCTGAATGTCAGGTAGTTATTTATCGCTTTGACATCTGATGGGAGGGCGTTCCACAGGGCGGGCGCCACTACCAAGAAGGCCCTCTGCCTGGTTCCCTGTAGCATTGCTTCTCGCAATGAGGGAACTGCCAGAAGGCCCTCGGCACTGGACCTCAGCGTCTGGGCAGAACGATGGGGGTGGAGACGCTCCTTCAGGTATACTGGGCCGAGGGAGTTTAGGGCTTTAAAGGTCAACACCAGCACTTTGAATTTTGCCCGGAAACGTACTGGGAGCCAATGTAGGTCTTTCAAGACAGGTGTTATGTGGTCTCGGCGGCCGCCCCCAGTCACCAGTCTAGCTGCCGCATTCTGGATTAGTTGTAGTTTCCGAGTCACCTTCAAAGGTAGCCCCACGTAGAGCGCATTGCAGTAGTCCAAGCGGGAGATAACTAGAGCATGCACCACTCTGGCGAGACAGTCCGCGGGCAGGTAGGGTCTCAGCCTGCGTACCAGGTGGAGTTGGTAGACAGCTGCCCTGGATACAGAATTGACCTGCGCCTCCATGGACAGCTGTGAGTCCAAAATGACTCCCAGGCTGCGCACCTGGTCCTTCAGGGGCACAGTTACCCCATTCAGGACCAGGAAGTCCTCTACACCAGCCCGCCCCCTGTCCCCCCAAAACAGTACTTCTGTCTTGTCAGGATTCAACTTCAATCCATTAGCCACCATCCATCCTCCAACCGCCTCCAGGCACTCGCACAGGACCTTCACCGCCTTCACTGGTTCTGATTTGAAAGAGAGGTAGAGCTGGGTATCATCTGCATATTGATGGACACCCAGTCCAAACCCCCTGATGATCTCTCCCAGCAGCTTCATATAGATGTTAAAAAGAATGGGGGAAAGGACGGAACCCTGAGGCACCCCACAAGTGAGGGCCCAGGGGTCTGAACACTCATCCCCCCCCACCACTTTCTGAATACGGCCAAGGAGGAAGGAGCGAAATCACTGTATAACAGTGCCCCCAGCTCCAGCCCCTATAGACGGTCCAGAAGGATGTTATGGTCGATTATATCAAAGGCCGCTGAGAGATCCAGCAGAACTTGGAAACAACTCTCACCTTTGTCCCTAGCTCGCCAGAGATCATCAACCAGTGCGACCAAGGCAGTTTCAGTCCCATGATGAGGCCTGAATCCCGATTGGAAGGGATCCAAATGGTCCGCATCCTCCAGGCGTGCCTGGAGTTGTTCAGCAACCACGCGCTCAATCACCTTGCCCAAGAATGGAAGATTTGAGACTGGGCGATAGTTGGCAATACTAGCCGGGTCTAAAGATGGTTTTTTAAGAAGTGGTTTAATGACAGCCTCAGCGGATCTGGGAATGTTCCCTCATGGAGGGAAGCATTCACCACCCCGCAGAGCCCATCGCCCAGCCCTTCCCGGCTTGCTTTTATTAGCCAGGATGGGCAAGGATCAAGGAGACAGGTGGTTGGTTTCACGCGTCCAAGCAGCCTGTCCACATCCTCGGGGGTAACGGATTGAAATTGATTCCATGCAACTTGACCAGACAGAGCTCTAGCACTCTCCCGCCCCAGCCCTGCTCCCACGGTGGTGTCTAGTTCCTTCCGAATATGAGTGATTTTATCTGCAAAAAACTTTGCAAAATCGTTGCAGGAGATCTTGGGGTCTTTGCAAGGCCCCGGTGGTAAAGGTGGTTCCATTAAATTGCGAACCACCTGAAAGAGTCTCCTGCTACTATTTTCTGCAGATGCAATAGAGGCGGTGAAGAAAGTCTTCTTCGCCGTCGCTATCGCCACTTGGTAGGCTCGACGTTGAGCTCTAACCTGTGTCCGGTCAGATTCGGAGTGAGTTTTCTGCCACCGACGCTCTAGCTGTCTCAGCGATTGTTTCGTCACCCTCAGCTCCGAAGAAAACCACGGGGCTGTCCGGGCTCCATGCAATCGTATAGTATAGTTTGTTAAGGGGTGCTGAGTGTTGCTAGGAGACCCCCTCACAGAGTTACAGTTCGCAGAGTGGTTTAACAATCCATCCCTCGTCCCAGGAAACTCTAGGATTCATTAAGAGTTTATTGATCTAGCTGTGGTTCATCTATGCAGTATTTCAGAAGACAAATCACAGCAATCTATTTGTTCTAAATGATAATAGTTTATAACTAATGGCACAAAGAGTTTAACCAAACCTTATAAGAACAGCTGCAGCAATGCAATAAAATCTTACCCAGGCATATAGGGATTCCACATCCGAATGATTCGATCCATCCCACCAGTTACAAGAAGGTTATTCTTTTTACTAAGTGCAAATGTTTTCACTCCTTTGTGGACTCGAAAAACAATCTGATCCCCCTCAGCTCTATGGGAGGGAGATCCTAGGACCGACTGTGCTTTCCTTGCCTTGGAATCTTTCCTGTGTTCTTTTATTTCCCTCATCTGTTGCTCAACATTGGTTGCTCCCACAACGCACCCTGTAGAAGGGCAAATGTTTCTGAATCAACCATCAGGCCTCAAGTAGACTTTGACACGACTGATAATACACAATAAACACTCTCACATTTTGGGATTGGAAAATGCAGACCATTTTAACATTTAAGAAAACAGGAGGGAGATTCTTGCAGTGCTTGAAGTTTTCCACATTCTAGGTAAAAGGAAAGAACATGTAAATATGATCTTCAGTGGTCACCACTGAACTCTACAGACAGGTCTGACAGATAAGACCATTTAGGCATCAAGAAACTGCTCTCAGGGAAAGATGATTTCACACACTGCTCAAATAGGCAGATAGTTATAGGACATGGGGTGTGTGGGGTCTGGTTGAAAAGCACTGGAGAGAAGAGAAATTGCCTTCATAACGTAGCTGACAGTAGAAGACACAAAAGGCCTCAACATCCAATCATGTAATCTGCACATCTGCCTACCTCCATTTTCTCACTTCCCAATACATCACAGCTACCTATTTATCTACTTGCACTTTGAGGTGCTTTTGAACTGCTAGGTTGGCAGGAGCAGGGACTGAGCAACGGGAGCTCACCCCGTAGCAGGGATTCAAACCGCTAACCTTCTGATTGGCAAGTCCTAGGCTCTATGGTTTAACCCACAGCGCCACCCGCGAATCTACCACAAGTAGAACCTGCCATTAGAAGTACATAAGCAGAGCCCTGTTGGATCTGTCTGCTCCAGCCAGTTAGGTAATTTTGGGCCCTCAAAATGTGTATTACTTCTAAATTGGCAAGATGTCTGGATTTTTGTGATTTTCCCAAAAGAAGCTCAAACCTTTCCCTGTTGGTATATGCCACACGACTTTTAATTCTTTTTGATGAATTTATTGTCGTTTGCTTTATTTATATACTAGTGTGTTTGATATTATTGTGATTGAAATGCTCGTTGCTTTTCTAACACTACTGTGATTATTGTGAGCCGCTTTTGAGCTCAACAATTGAAAGGCAGAGTACAACTATTAAATCAGATCAAAAATCAAACCTCTGGAGGCCAGAGGTTCCTCATCCTGCTCTAAACTTTTCATCCTGACTGATCACATGGATGGTACTTGCAACGTGACTACAACACTGTAACATGGGAAGGAAAAGAAATTGTATATAAGCCAAGCAAACGGAAACATGTAAGAACAATTTCCTGGATTCAAAAGCAGAAATATAATTACCTATTACGATGGCTGTAGGCTCATGGCTTGAAGCAGAAATGACTGCTTTAATAGAATCATAGTATTTCAGCTAAAAAGACAGAAAACAATAATACATTATCAAAATGCTACAAAATATTGGTTAAATAATGTTGTGTTGTTAAGATTGTTTTATAATTGTATTTGGCCCAAATTTACAATGTTTACCTGAGTAACCCAGTCTCCATGAACTTTCCAACGGATGTAAGTGACATTAGGAGAAAGAGCTGCATTCTCAAGGCTAATACTTGGAAGGTTTTCCGATTTGGGCAGCTTTTTCCACGTTCTGAAACATGTTCAGAGAACATAATAACATTAAAGAAAAATAATTAAGCTTGTCCATGCTATCGGGTTCCTAATTTGGCCATTTATCGCCATAGGAAGCACCTGACCTTTGTTTTGTGATTTGCAAAATGTTGTGAGTTCGTTAGTGGAAGCTCTCAGAGCCCCAGCGCGTTCTGTTGTTTCAGAGATCACCTCGTAGGCCCCTAACCTTTCTCATTTGTGGGCTCTAAAGCCAATTGCATCACCTTCATAATTGACTGAAGAGGACACTGCACAACTGGCTAGAGAGAGCCCTGAGTTCTTGCATGACCTTCCAATTAAGTACTGAAACACAGAGTCAAGTTATTTCCCTTTGTTAAGAAGAGTAGATGCTCCTCTTCCCCTTCTGTTCAGCTGGAAAATGTCCTATGCCACCCTAACCTTTTGTTAGTTTTGTATTTCTATCTGCAGCAGAGCAGAGACAGGGAAGCAGTGAAATAATGCTCTTCTGCGCTAGAGTTCAGTTGCCACATGCTCATGTGTATTGCAGAAGAGCTTAGGCCCTGTACAGCAAACCACCAACTTATACGGGGGTTACGTTCCAGGGATCATGGCTAAAGCCAAAATCGCATATAAAATGGTACTTGGTTTACAACTGTTCCGGAGGTCCATTTGTAAACCAAAACAGGTTGTAACCCAAGGCACGCTTTCGCCAATGGGGCCTCCAAAAAAAATTTGTTCGTAATCCCCCCAAAAATGGGTTGTAATCCAAAAAAAGGTTGCAAACTGGGACACGCACTTCCGGGTTTGATGTGTTTGTAATCCAAAACGTATGCAAACCAAGACATATGCAAACCAAGGTACCACTGTAATCAAAACCCATTGGGTTCAATGGCATGTGGGATTGACAAAGTCATTTCCCCCAGAACCCTGCCCCCTTTCCACCCCCTTTTCATTCATTCATCCATTCATTTTTTGCCAAATGCGTAAAGCTGAATGAGCACAAGTTGAATGTGTACTGCTTACTGTACCCAGAAAAGTTGGTTTCCAGAATCCAAACTTAATAGCTGCATCAGCCATGTTAAACAGCCCCCACTGTAGAAACACAGCAATAGTAGCTCCAAACCTCCCAAGATAACGGGGCCTCTTCTAGGAATTATTTTCTGTTTCCAGGTTTGTGGCTACTGTTGCTCAGGGAAGTTGGCAACTGGAAGCACACCTTTTGTGGAATGATTAACGAAATGTCTACTTTAATTCTCAACAGACACTTTCAAACACTTGCCTTAGGACCTCTCCCACAGAGCAGATGAGCAAGATATTGACACAGCCCTGCAATCACAAAGAAACATGCTGAAAACAAACTGCAGGAAGGTCACAATCGGGAGGCTTTCAGGCTTTTGAAGACAAAACCCCTGAGATTAATAGGATGAGTACGATTCTCTTGCAGCAGCTGTTCTTATTGATAGGGAATCTGTACCGACTGCCTGCTTTGCATGTAGTTATGGACGCAGGCATGGTTGCAAGGGAGATTTCCCATTAGAAAATTATGTACGAGAGGGATGTATGAGAGGGATCTCCCTTAGTCCAACCTTGCTTATCTGAAAGTCCTCTGCTTTGCCATACATACTGCACCTAGCCAGTACTGTACAACCTCTGGCATTCTCTTGCTATCTGTTGTACTTTCCCTACACATCTACTCCATAATCCAGGGAATTAAACAGCAGCTGTGGCAAGATGGGTTCCCCACCCACTGAGTTTTAAGGCCTACAGTTTCCCTAGCAAGCATTTTACCCAATACACACCTGGTCATCTCCATAAAGAATCATGCATTCATCACGATCTGTGTAGCTGAATTGGAGGGGGGGGGGACGAAGAGGAAGAAAAATTAAGTATTGCTTAAAATCTGAGCCAAAATAATATTGCACAATAACTTCCAAGACAAACCTGAAGACATATCTAAAGGAGATTATGTTAACACCCAAGGTTTTAGCACAAACTATTGATTTTGCCAATGGGATGCGGGTGGCATTGTGGTCCAAACCACTGAGCCTCTTGGGCTTGCCGATCAGAAGGTCGGTGGTTCGAATCCCCGCGATTGGATGAGCTCCTGTTGCTCAGTCCCAGCTCCTGCCAACCTACCAGTTCGAAAGCACACCAGTGCAAGTAGATAAATAGGTACTGCTCTGGCAGGGAGGTAAACAGTGTTTCCGTGTGCTGCTCTGGTTTTGGTGTTCCATTGCGCCAGAAGCAGCTTAGTCATGCTGGCCACATGACCCGGAAAAACTGTCTGTGGACAAACGCTGGCTCCCTTGGCCTGTAAAGCGAGATGCGTGCCGCAACCCCAGAGTCGTGTGCGACTGGACTTAACTATCAGGGATCCTTTACCTTATTATTATTATTATTGATTTTGCCAGCTTGTCTCCACGCAGTGCACAGTTAACCAATTGTTATAAGAATTCTAAGGTCTCAAACATGAAATAAATCTTCAGAAGTTCATAAGTATATAAAACCATGGCACTCTCCCTTCCTGTGGTTTCCTGCAGTCATGCTTTATAGCATCAGCACTCAGGGCATTCATCATGAGAAATCAAAGCGGCATTTAATGTCATGGGGAAATTAAAATGACAACTTAACACAGGCATTCAGCCCAAGGAGACTCAGAACAGGTCCTGGGGCCTTGGTAGCTATTAGAGGCAGTGGCAGAGCTTCATGCTCCGGCACCGGGGGGCGGAGAGCAGGCAGGGGCAGGGCTGGCACACGTCCTGGGGGCAGGGCGCCCAGCGCGGGTGAGGGAGCAGCTGCGATGGCACCCTGGGGGTCGCGCTGCCAGGGGAGGAGCGCTTCCCCCACACTCCTCTTCCTCCGCCAGTGACTAGAGGGTGTTGGGTCCTGATTCTGGGCCTGCTTGGGAGTTCCAAGTAAACCAGTCTGAGCTTGAAGAAGAGGATATAAGTGTAATAATAGATATAGCCACACATATAGAAGTATGCCATAATTATTAGAAGATAATTTACATAAGACCTGAATTTTGAGTGCCTTACCAGTAATCCACATTCAAAGGTATAGCTTCTAAACCACTAATTTGAAAGTAGGGTTCAAAGTTGGAGCTTTCATAGAGCTGAAGTTCGCGATCCCTGTCACAAAGTTGAAATATTATATATTTTACTATCATGGGTTGTATGAACTGGTTTCTCATAATAAGGAGGCAATTAGCATTTGAAGGAGGGATTTTCATTCTGAAAACAGTGTTGGGGAAAGGGTTCAAAACCTTCCCCCAAGCTGTGACCCTAACTGAGGGACCCTTGCAGCTTCTATTTGTTAACATTCAAAGAGACAAGAGATTCCATTACTGATCTCCAATATCCCATCAAGTTAGCCCCAAAGCCAATGCCCTGTCCGCTATGCCAACCCTGTAATGCTGGCCAAGATCCCAAACTGCTTTGTTTATGCAGCTTTCTCCAGTCAACCCCAAAGCTTTGGACAAAAAATATATTGGTAACTGGCTTTTATTTGAGTTTTTGCGCATAGGGCACTTACCCAGTTCCCAATATCAACTTATTATATGGTGTCATGACAGTGAAATCCATCAACCACTTAGATTTTCTGTAGGCTTTCTCCTTAAAAAAGAGAAAAGGCAAGAAGTTAAGTATTGCTTGCTAACTCCAAGGTATGGTCTGAAGGCACATGAGGCCACCATCTTGCTGAAGCAATGTAGATCTGGGTTTGGATGGGGGACTGCATTGGAGCCACACACAAGTATGCTGCCTTGGGTTCCATGATGAAAAACAGGCAGGATTTAAATGTAAGGGGTGGGGGTAGGGAAATAAGCAATCATTCCTGAATCATGAATACTGTGGCTCTCATATTTTCAAAGGAAAATTGAACTAAAAGTAGCTGAGGTACAGACAGTCCTGGGTAGAAGACTGGAGGACACAAACCTTTTATGTTAAGGAAGTTCAGGTGAATGAGGAGGAACTTTTAAAATGTAATCTTGCCAGAACTTAGGGCATATAAACCAAAATAAATAAGCAGGCCTTGTGCCAGTCACTGCCTCTCAGCATAACCCACCTCACAGGGCTTTTGTGAGGAATAAATGAGGAGAGGGAGAACCATGTTTGCCATTTTGAGGTCCTTGGAGAATGAATAAATAAGTAAAACCGGCCATCCCAGAACCTATGACATGAGAAAATGTGACATACAAACACCATCTTGCTTCGTATCAGCTTGAGCTGTGGTGACCAGAAGGAAATATGTCCGTCTTCTCGAGCTGTTATCAATGTGCTATCCAACAGCGAGCAAATTTTCAGCACAGGCTCTCCATGTGGGATCTCCTTTATGGTGGCAGGTAGTGCAAAAGAGACCGCTTTCAACCGGGCAGATGACTCATGTTGTTCAGCATATTCCAGCTGCATGTATGTGCAGAAGTCATGCTGGGGCGGAAAAAGGTGACAGTCATTGTCTCAGTGCTCAAGAGGCCAGATCCCATGCGTATGTACTTGGAAGTGAGTCCTGCTGTGTTCAATGGGGCTTACTCCTAGGAACAATGCCATCATAAACACATCACTGCTAAAATGGAGCCAACTAATGTTGGTAATGTATGCATTGTGAGGTACCAACTAAGGGAGAAAGCAGGACCCTTGTTGTATCACTAAGAAGTTCAGTGTCCACACTTTAAGGATGAAACTTCACATTGATAATGCAATCTTATACATGTGTATGGTTGGAGGAGAAATTTGGGAGAACCAGCCCCTCCACCTGCCAAACCTTAACACCTCGTGCGGCAAGGGAAATCGTAGCATACTTTAGCCTTTCTCAACCTTGGGGTCCTAATTGTGGTTGGACTACAAGTCCCATCCCTAGCTAGCAGGACCAGTGGTTGGGGATGATGGACATTGTAGTTCAGCAACATCTGGGGATGCAAGTGCCCTGTTTTATAGAGAAACACATTAATATCTTTGTTTCAGAGGCATATTCCGTGACTTGGTATCATCTTTTCACTCATTCCAATAAGCGTTGTACTCCTCATTCATAGTCACATCCTATTTTAAGCAATTAATTAATTATCGCTTACTGGGGTTTCCAATACACACTTACCCAACGAATTCTGCCAGTTGCAGAACAGTCAATTTTCATGAAAAGCTTTTCTATTTGTTCATCACTCTGTAGGAGCAAAGGATGTACACAACAACCTTCAACACACAAACGGTCAAGGTTACATGAGGTAGTTTCTAGCTTCAATCCAGCAAATATGAACTGCCCCAAATGGTGGCACCAACAAAGATTAAGGGCATGGAAGCCAGAGGCTAACAGTAGAATCCTGTGCATTTCTACACTGATGCAAGCTACACTGACTTACTCCAGTGCGTAGAGCACTGGAGCCTAAATACAGGACAGAAAGTGCTCCCCTCCCCCTCTCCCCATTCCATCTCATCTATGGTATTAAGCCATTGCAGTATGGTTTTCAAACTGTGCTTTGCTTACTGCATTTTGTGACCCCATGCATTTCTTCAACGTGCGCTTGAAGTTTTCCACATCCAAATACTTATGTCCATTAATTTCTAAGTCCTGGAAGCAGATAAAGCAACAGGTAATATAGTGTGCTATTATAAAGCAGCAGACTTGCCAAGAGAGCCTCATTCTGGTACTATTTCTTTCTCCCTGGGCAGATCAAACTTGTGATCAAACCTGAATGCAAACATAAAGCACAATGTTTGCATTCATATCTCATGTCTTTGCCCAAAATTGGGTAGACACTCTCAGTGTATTGGGGTTCCTGGGGACCCTGTCCCTGAGCTGCTTTCGATGTCACAAGGCAGACCTGATTCACTTCTAGGTTTGCCGGTTTTTGATCCTGCTCTGTGGCTGTCACTTTAACAGCAGTTTGATGTTCAGTAATTAGCAAGTAATAACATTTCATGCCAGGTCATCATAATACAATTTGCCTGCTGATCGCTGCTTCTTTTATTAAAGGCACATAAGCAAGCCAAACAAAAACTCATTATGCTTCTCACTCATTCAGAAGTGGCTATTAACAGACTTTGCTGAAAGCCTCTCTCTACTCCATGTCAAAGACACTTGTCAGTACTTTGCTCATAAAGAACCCTTAGAAGTCCATGAAACCAGAACTCCCAAGAGATGTTTGATGCATCTAACCCTAAGGATGTGATTGGACCTTAAGATGCATTGGACCTTAAGACCTGACTTAAGGTCCTACTTGAGAGGTTCCAGGAGGCATCTGGCTAGCCTCTGTGACAACAGGATGCTGGACTAGATGAGACTTTGACCTGCTCCAGGAGACTCTTATGTTCCACAGCACCTGGTTGACTACAGTGCATGGGGAAGAGAGGAGAGGACAAGGATATGGATGCAGGTGAGGGCTGGACACAGGGCCCACAAAGCCCAGCTTGAGATATCTTTGCAAGCTAACATATCAGAACCATAGCTGTCAACTTTTCCCTTTTCTTGTGAGGAATCCTATTCGGAATAAGGGAATTTCCCTTAAAAAAAGGGAAATGTTGACAGCTATGATCAGAACTGATATTTATCTTGCATTGCATTACATCAGTAATTATTACATTGCTCTCTTGCAGACACAAATCTCTTAACAAAATTCATGAACACACTTTCTCAATACTTTCTTACTCCAAACTTTCTGAGGCATAAATGCAAGTTAAATAGGTGTCCTTCTGTAATTGGTATGGGATAACAGTTTGTTTCCAGTCAATATGTTAACAGCGAAACAATATACAGAGTGAAATGATATACATTATCAGTGAAATAATATACACTGATATGATTTCATTGGGATGGTCATACCTGAAAGGCCACATGTAGCTTTTGAAGCTGTTCCAGAGTTACTTGCTGCTCAATCTTGCCAAGACAAAAATAAAAATAAAAATGGAATAATTAAATGATGATGCACATGGGCCCCTTTTAGGACTTGGGAGGTGCTCATGGATTTAAGGTTACTTGAGGACACCTTTCAGTTCATTGCAACCTATGTTCCCGCAGCCTTGCTCCTCCCCCCCCCCCCAGTAAATCACTGTGACTCACCTGCCAGGAAGCTAGTGTAGCAGCTCCACCCCACCCAGTGAGCCACTTTGGCACACAGCCCAGTCCTCCAAAACCCCACTACCACTAGATGACGCCTTACATCATCCGCTACCTGAGGCAGCTGCCTCATTCTGCCTAATGATAGGACCAGACCTGGAGCATATGCTATCAGGATGCTGTGGGGGAAAAGGCTTCCCCATGCCAAGCGATTCCTACCTTGTCCATAATGTTTGCAAGTAGTTGGAACCATGGTGTATGAACCTCTGTCTCTTTGTTTCATGTTCCAGGTGGTTGTTGGGAGTGTGTCTGCAAAGTGGCTTTCAGTGGAGATTGCAATGTGTGCTGTGCGGTTCTAACTGACTCTATAGAGGGAACTGGTCTCTGACATCATGGAAAGCCAGCGAGCCCATTGTCATCCAACAAATTCAGAATCTCCTCGTCCTCTCATAGCATTTACCATTTTGAAAAGCCCTTCGGAGCCCAGCAAGAGAATTCACTATACCTTTCCTTTCCATTGGCTTCTGGATGAGTCAACGCGATGGTGAACGCTTTCGCTCTCCAGTATATTTTCCATGAGTCCAATGGAGTGACTCCTCTGCTGCCCTTTCAGCAGCTCCCTCAGCAGCCATTCTGGAAGCTGCTCTATCTCCTCCTCCCGAGCTTCTGAAAAACTGCTAAGGGAAACTGGAGACGCAGCTGGCAACCTGCGCCCTCCTAATGAAGTCTGCGCACGTCGAAACAGAAGGTCTGTTGTATCTGTCGTCTCTCTCAACTCATTTAGAATGCTGTCAGAGCACAAACACCAGAAGGCAGGCATGGACATTGCTATTATTATTATTAATGAACTATCTCTTAATAATAAATTACCTATCATTAATTATTAGTTGCTGGCGGTAGCAGTAGTAACAGTAGAAACAACAGTAGATTGTTTCCAGACTGAGGTAACAGCTTCCTTTACAAGTTACAGCTTATGCACACGCACAATTCCTTTAAATTAAGGTTACCAGATTTGTTTCAGTGAATCCGGGGACACTTTTCAAGTTCAATGGATTTTGTATGGGGACTGAAGTGTAAATCCAGGGACTTTTCCCCGGGAAACAGGGACGTCTGGTAACCTTACTTTAAATCACATTTTTCACCTCAAAGAATTCTGGACGCTGTAGTTTTTTAAGCATTGTTGGGAATTGTAACTCTGTGAGGGGTAAACTACAGCGCCCAGAGGTATTTGAGGGTGGAAATGTGCTTGAACGGTATACAGTGGTACCTCAGGTTAAGTACTTAATTTGTTCCGGAGGTCCATTCTTAACCTGAAACTGTTCTTAACCTGAAGCACCACTTTAGCTAATGGGGCCTCCCGCTGCTGCCGCGCTGCCGGAGCACGATTTCTGTTCTCATCCTGAAGCAAAGTTCTTAACCGGAGGTACTATTTCTGGGATAGCGGAGTCTGTAACCTGAAGCGTATGTAACCTGAAGCGTATGTAACCCGAGGTACCACTGTAGTGCGAACACAGGGACACAACTCTATCCATCTATAACCCTCACATTTTTCAGTTATCATGTGATTAAATGGGGAGGGGAGGGAAAGGGAGGGCATAACAAGGTGAAGTGAATCACTCAGATTCTCAAAGCACCTGCACAATGGCACCGCAGAAAAGAGAAGACACATTAACATGTCTCAAATCTGGACATTTCCGATATTAAACCATACCTAGAGTAACTGGTTGGGCAATAGGATTGTAGGGGCAAGGTGGGTGAGTCATACAAATATTTCTGCTTATTGTCAGCCTCCGTGACATGTGCTGGAGAAGATTAAATGTAAATGGACAAGTCAACAACAAGCTGGTCTTGGCTGGTGTCCAATGGGGTTGGAAGTCTTAATGTCAGCTAAGCAGCGTCATTTAATACAACCCTAATTTCCTGGGTTGGGTACCATAAGAGACGGCCAACTTGGAAACTAGTGTATAGTGTTGTACGGCTGGCTGCCTTATGTGCAACTCTCCCAGAGACGAAAACAATAAATGCTAATCTATTTAAATTCACAAGGAGGCAGCATTGGACAAAGGCTAGGCGATAAATTGGGAGTGCTTCTAGAATGTGTAGTTTTAGTGCTACCTAGTCATTGATTTTCCACTATAAGCTACAAAAATAATTACAAGTGACTCTCCATCGTTCTATGAGCATGGCGCTATTTGTGTGCGAATATCCTGCTGTTATAACTATACTAGTGGGCGTAGCATAGTTGTGTGGCTACAGGAGTAAATGTGTGCCTAACCATGCCATTTTAGCAGTGTGCTTAAAAAAATGCTAGGGACACTTATCCATTTGAAAACATTTGCAAAATTAAATAAAATTAAGTAGGTGAAAAAGTGTTTTGTTGCCATTTGTACCCCCCCCCCAAAAAAAACATGCTGCTAAAAGGATGCTGATGAGAAGGATAATAATGGGAGTGTGTCAAAGTGTTGCAATGGGGCGCAAATTACATGTCAAAACTATGCCTCTACAAAAACAAACAGAAAAGTAGTGGGCTACTGTTCTGTTCCCACCTCCCAGAAAAGAACTGAGAAACAATGAAAGCAGCAGAGACACAGAGAGATTCAAACCGCATCAAATGCCCATAGAGAAATTAACACACCTTCTAAAATCTCCATCTCAGCATCTGTCTTGGAATTGAATTGATTTTATGCATGTGCTGCTGTTTTAAACTGTTTTTTTTATAATTTTTATAAAAAAAATTTAGATATAAAACAGTTGCATATAGAAAACAATTGTATAACACTGTTATAACTGGTTTATGAACACTCGATCCATGATGCTTGATGATTGCTGGCTCTTCTCTTAGCAATACTTCAAACCTTAATATAATCAAGAGGAAAGGGGAACAGGATTTGTATTCCCCGCCCCATGCTTCTGTTAGGGAGGGTAGGACTGAAACCAATGGATTCAAGTTATAAGCAAGATTCTGAAATAAGAACTTTCTGACAGTAAGAGCTGTTAGACAGTGGAGCAGACTCCCATGAGAGGTGGTGGCCTCTTCTTCCTTGGAGGTTTCTAAGCAGAGGTTGGATGGCCATCTGCCATTTATGATCTAGATGAGATGTCCGCATTGCAGGGGGTTGGACTAGATGACCCTCAAGGCCCCTTCCAACTCTACAATTCTAGGGTCTCTTTTGTTTGCAGGGTGTTGGGCTTGTGCTGGGCCCAGTGGGTAACCCATGAAATGCGGTCCAGGACTGGACCAGAATCTGAAGGTTCCGCTAGGAGTCAGTCCGACAGGGCCAAGGCAGGAAAACAGACAAGGACAGGTACAGGATCTCAGGCAGGATCTGGCATAGAGCAACGTTGCTCCCACAACCTGGGGCGGGGTCCAAGAGCCATTTATCTTTGTCGGAGTAGCGGCCGGTCCTGATCCCCCGGTGACTCACCTCCCTGTTTTGCCCAGAGGTGAGCACTCCTCCTGCAAGTACTCAGGTCTCTCCTTCTCTCAGGCCTCAGTCTCTGCAGCTCGGGAGATGTTGGTGGGTTACTAGACCCAGGGGCCGCCTCCCCTGACCAAACCGGTAGTGGAGCAGCTGTAAGTGATGGCCCAGCTGGAGGCAATGAGGTAATCCCCGCATCTGGAGCCAGGGCAGGCTCAGGCCCCTGACTCGGCCCAGCTGGGGTTTGTTGCAGGGGAACCTGTACAGACTGGGACTCTTCAGGATCAGGCCCCAGACTTGGTTCAGATGATGCCTGAGGCAAAGGATCCGGTGCGGACTGAGACTCCTCTGGTTCCGAGTCCGAGCCCAAGTCCCAGGCCATCACAGGGCTATGTGTTCCACAAAGTGCATTCCATGCCATGAATCTAATTGCATATAATTGGTAGTTTGACTAAGGAAATACTGTTCCTTTGCAATCACCCCCTCCCTCCCAAAATTGCTATTATTTATTTCTTTGATTTTTATATGGCAAAAGTTAAGCCTTGTTTTATCTTTCTTGTTCTAAGAAACCAAGTCAAGGAGCTCTCCTTCTCAGGCAGTACTGGTGTGTGAGAGCAGCTAATTATAATCCGTTGCACGTTCCCAAGCAAAGCAGACTGAGCAAACAAAACAAGCAAACAAACAAAAAAGGATTTTCGCAGCAAGAATGTGCACTAGTGATACAGAATTCACCAAGGCGATAGAAATGTGAAGCGATCGTGTCTCAGGGAAGGAACTGTTCGCGTTAAAGGTTTGAAAATTTTGACAATTTATAAGAAAGCAAAAGAACAGCATTTGGTTCCCTGACAACAAGCAAATAGCTTCCAAACAATACTGATCAGCACTGCAGTCACTCTTGGACTCAGTCTGCACCCAAACCCCTTTTATTATTATTTTTTAAAGCCGGTAATGGTTTTTTTAATTTATATGCATTGAGAGGTTTTTTTAACAAATCCTCTCCACCCCCCCTCACCTCTTACCTGCTAAGTGTGGATGTTTCTAAGTGTCCTGAAGCAGAACTTGGCCTCACTTTTCTCCCCAAAGGCATTCTGGCACCAGAAATCATACCAGAACACCACCCTTCCCAGTGCCAGCAACTGAATCTCACAATGCCACTGCTGTTTCCACTCCCCTGAGGCAGCGGTGGGTGCCTACTTTGTGCCTAAGATTGGAGCCTGCTGGTTAGAGCTTGTCTGTCCACAGTTACTACAGCTCAGGTTACTTAGCACCTCCTCCAAGTCCCACAGCATCACAGCTTGGGGATTATGCATTGCAGCTCCCTCAGGGCAGGGGTGTTGCTAGGTGCTTAAGAGTCTTGGGGAACATGTGCACATTTGTATACCCTTTGCTAATATATATACATTGAGGGGAAAATTGGAGGGGGGAGAGCAGCTGAAGCACTATAAGTGACATGTAGAAGGGCCCTGAGCTGTGATTCTCAAAGGTGCCACCTGTACCACAATAAATGTCCCTCTACCTACCTGAGTACACTGGTACCTCGGGTTAAGAACTTTATTCTTCTGGAGGTCTGTTCTTAACCTGAAACTGGTCTTAACCTGAAGCACCACTTTAGCTAATGGGGCCTCCCGCTGCTGCTGCTGCGCGATTTCTGTTCTCACCCTGAAGCAAAGTTCTTAACCTGAGGTAGTATTTCTGGGTTAGCAGAGTCTGTAACCTGAAGCGTCTGTAACCTGAAGAGTATGTAACCCAAGGTTCCACTGTATCTAGTTCTGCCACCAAGCCTGATAAAAGCAAGTTCTGCGGCACTGTAGGAGTAGGACCTTAAGTCAGAGCATATTGTTTTGACTGCAAAATTACGCTTTAAATGCATACGGTGTGTTAGGCAGCCTCGAGCTGTCCTTTAATGTCAAGCCAGAACTTGTATAAATTCAATATTTTAAATCCCATTTCCACCAGGTAGAACAGATTGGCATTCATTGTGGTTCTCTCCCCTCCATTTTATGTACACCACAACCTTGCTAAGTATAGGTTAGCCTAAGAGTGACAGGACGAGGTATCCCCACATCCTTTTGTTTTTATTTATTTATTTACATGCCACTTATAATCCAAAAGGCTTTGTCCCTGATGGCTTCAAACATCAATTTTGTGCAAGAGTTGCTAGTTCAGGAGGGAATATTCACTGATAATGTTTTTTAAATTATCAGGTACCTAGAACCCAGAAGCTGGGCCCATGCTATGATGGTGGAACATGGTATGGAATTTCTTAGATGTTAACGGTTCAGCTCCAAACATTGGCATACTCCGCTCAGCCCTGATTCTTACCCAGAATGAAAGCAAGGCAAATGGCTACTTAACCTGTTCTGATAGAAAACAGCTGTGAACTTATAGCAGGGAAGAAGGAACATCAAAAGAGAATTATGGCAGGAAGCAACATCTCCCTGCTTCTGACTCACCCCACAATTTCTTCTGGTGTTGAAAAACTGAAATGATGAGAGAGGGAGAAAAGCACATGACATTCACTTTTGCACAATCACTTCTTTGCCTGGTGAGGAACACCACGCAGTTTACAAAAAAAGGAGAGGAAGAATTTGCAAAACAGCCCTAAGTGAATCCAGAATGTCCTGTTCTGCATTATGTTATACAAAGCACAAGTCTTGGTTTTTAGATTTTTTTCATCCTCAATTAATAGCACCAGCCAGCAAATTCCATTATGATTCAGAGTGCTCCAGTTAGTACATTTCGCATTGTAAGTGAAATGTAAGAAAACCACAACTACCTCAATCTGAAGGCATGTGGCACATATTAAAAAACTAAAGAATTTGTGTAATAACCTCAGGAACAGAACTGGGTTATAGTGCTCCAGCAGCGGCTAGCACAGTGCTGTTTTTATTGGTCATAATCTGTGTTTTATCTATCAGTGCTTAATTGTTTTTTCTGAGAATGAAAATTATTTCAGGGGAGAGCTAAACTTGGCTCAGGCCTGTGCAGGCAGCCTGATAATAGGCAGCACTCCATCTGCCAGATATTTAGTCATCAAATCTCAAAGGAAAAATAGATGGAGAGAGAGAGATTAACAGTAGATAGCTGATAACAGCGTGTAAAGGTAGTTTGACTATGCTTGATAGTTGTGATATAGCAGAATACATATAGGACACACACACACACACACACACACACACACACACTTCATAATAATTTAATGCACAATATTCCTGCCTCCTCCCTCAGCCAACACCAACACACTGAAGCCATAATAAGACTTGAAAGTCATCATTTTACATCTGAATAACCGCACCTACTGCCCTGTAATCAGCCCTCCAAACAAGTCCTCATTTTGGTTGAGGCATGCCATTTGCATTCTTGCCTTGGCGATATTTCTGCTATGACCTCTCATTGCCAACTGTAAATCATCAGCTATTTTTCTTGAATTGCACAGTCATCTCACTATGAACAGTAAGTGTGTTACTTCTTTTTATGGTGTCAATTACTTTGCTGGTTAGCTTGTTGCTGAATTCTGAGCTAAGACCACAAGAAGAACCCTGCTCAGTCAGACCAAAGGACCGTCTAGTCCAGTGTAGTGGCCAGCCAGATATCTGTGGGAAGCCCTATGAGACCTACTGCTTGTGTTTCACAGCAGCTGGTATTCCAAGGACCTGATTCTTGAGGTAGTGCACAGCCACTATGACTGGTAGCCTTTTCATCAATGAATTGCTCCAAGCCCCTTTTCTCTGCATCAGACATAATTTTATGCATGTATTATTGTTATTGATTGTATTTTCTATCTGCCCTTCATCAAACAGTCCCAGTGTGGGTTACAGGATATATAGATGCAATTAATACAGTAACAAACAACCAATCCCCAACACACACACCCACACACACACACACACCCAATACATGGAGGACACAAATCAATTCTTCAGCTTTCAAAGGCCACAGTAAAGAGATGCATCTTCAGCCATTGACAGAAGCTGTACAGATGATGCCAGATGCATCTCTGTGAGTAGGGAATTCCACATTACTGGGGCCAACACCGAGAAGGCCCTCTCACAAGTCACAGCCCACAGAAACTCTGAAAGTAGAGAAGCCACCAAGAGGGAGTCATTTAGGGCTTTAAACATTAGTGTAAGCATCTTGAAGTGGGTTTAGAGCTAATAGGCAACCAGTGTAGTTACTTTAGAAGTGTAGCATGGGTTCTCACAGTAGATAACACTAGTTGTAGCTTTCAAATCATTTTGAAGAGCACATTGCAATAGTCTAATCTGGCAGTCTGAAGGGGGCCACAGATGGTGAACCAGCTGGACCTACAATAAGGCACTCCTAGCCATACAGGTTACCTGTGGCAAGAAGTACTTTTCAGGGACAAAAAAAATATGCAATAGATGTGTGGATGCAATTCATGTGTGGATTGCGGGGGGGGGGGGGGGGAAGTACTCAGTCTCCATTGATTCTGGAATAAAATAAAATGTTGCATGTACACAGCCTTGACAGATTTATTTGGGTTCTGTTCCTAAATTGATCAGTTTACAAAGCAGCAAACATAATTTATACATAACGAAATACAGACTCTTAATCTGACCAACATGGGAAGGTGTAACTTCAGAGGAATAAAACAGCTTTATGCTGAGGAAGGGAACTCAAGGAATTAAAACCAGGGCTATGATATTTAGCTGCCAATCTGTTAGAACAGGCACGTCCAACTCCCAAGAGACTGAGATCAACTGGCAGTGATCTACCCATTGTCATTAGAAGGAGGAGCGTGCGTGGGGTGTGCACGTGTGTGGAAAGGGAGGATTGCCCAGAGTTCCTGAGCTTGTTGATCTTTTTTTACCGTGGGCAGCGGGGGAGGGGGGGAACTAACCATTAACTACGACACTAACAAGAAGACTATAAAAGATCACCCTTTCAACACTACGTAGGGACAGAGCGAGGGGGGCAGGGGTGGGAACATTCATTATATATTGCTTTGAATCCCGCAATCAATAAGGATGCCGTGATCAACCGTAATCATCAACCGGTTAGACATTGCTGTGTTAGAAGATCATTCTTTTTCTACAACACATGTGCACATAATCTAAAAACAAAGGGAATACTTTGCCCTCAAAACTATTATTTTCACTCATTTCCAAATTTAATTGTTTAGTTCACTGACTAAAGGCAGCAAACCCATTACCCCTTTCCTGGGAGTAAATCTCACTGAACTCAATGGGACTTCCTTCTGTGTAGACATATAAAGGCTTGCACTGTAAAAATCCATGTAGTGTAAAACTCATATTATTAATTGACTTAAAGGTCATAGTCCCAATTAAAATGTCTGAGATCCAGAAACCAATATAATCTAGTAGAAGAGCAAAATTAAAGCTAGAATAAAAGTTCTCTTTTACTAATCTATTTTTTAAAAAGAAGATTATCGTAATTATTTTTTATTTAAATTGCAGTAGCATTATAACAAGGAAATGATAATAGGGTGGGGAAAATATTTGATTTGCAAATATATGGAATATGTAAGATCTTCTCTGATTGGAATGAAAGTTCCTGAATCCATACTATATTTCCAAGGTCAATGCGGTGGTAGCACTGCAGTCTTTACAATTTCAAAAGAAAACCTAAAGTATAAGAAAGTTTGATGTAGCTCTTCAAATGGTTTACTATAAAGAAAGACCACAAGGGTATTCAAGTGTAATTCAGCCTCCTAGAATATTGCTGAATTTTCTCCTAAAAGCTATTAGACACATTTGACTGGGTTTTCTTCCGGCTACTTCGATGAGGAAGGCCTTTGGAATTTCTTGTCCCCGCTGACCCTTTCAAGGAAGTTCTGAAGGATGGTTTTTTCTGCACAAACAAGTGAAAGAAAATGTATCACTAAAGCTAGAATAACCAGACATACGCAACATCAATAATGATTTCACATTAGAACAGGAAATAGGTGGGATATCAAAGGGTCAAATCAGATATGACATTAACGTATCTTTGCTTTTTTGTATATGTTCTGCTTGTTTTACATTGGGCTTTTCTTTTTCAAGCAACTTGTTCCCTTGCTGGATCAGAAAGAGCTGACTGGGCTGGACTCCAAAGGGTCAATAAATCTCCAGTTTTTCCACTGCCTTTTGGTACAGTATGTCAATGATTGTGTGGGATGGATCTTAGTGTACTGAAGGAAGCAACAGGAATTCTCCCTTATAATTAGTTTAAAGGAAGCCAT